CGGTAAAGGTCACGTGTGTAACTGTCCGGTGAAGGTCACGTGTGTAACTGTCCGGTGAAGGTCACGTGTGTAACTGTCCGGTGAAGGTCACGTGTGTAACTGTCCGGTGAAGGTCACGTGTGTAACTGTCCGGTAAAGGTCACGGTGTGTAACTGTCCGGTGAAGGTCACGTGTGTAACTGTCCGGTGAAGGTCACGTGTGTAACTGTCCGGTGAAGGTCACGTGTGTAACTGTCCGGTGAAGGTCACGTGTGTAACTGTCCGGTGAAGGTCACGTGTGTAACTGTCCGGTGAAGGTCACGTGTGTAACTGTCCGGTGAAGGTCACGTGTGTAACTGTCCGGTGAAGGTCACGTGTGTAACTGTCCGGTGAAGGTCACGTGTGTAACTGTCCGGTGAAGGTCACGTGTGTAACTGTCCGGTGAAGGTCATGCTTGGTGTAAAAACTTGGTTGAGGTTAGGACTTGGTGAAGGGTCATATGCTATTTACAGCTAGCTACAACATCGCTAGCGTTTGTGGAGCTCAAAACACAAGACGTAGCTCCATCGAAGTTTGGAAAAGGATAAACATGAAAGCCCCGGAGCGGTCCTGTCGACGTCCATGTCCTCTGCACAAAGCACTTAGCATGAGGTTATATCATCGTTAGCGTAGCGTAGCGATGCCGTGCGCTGCAGGATGTCAGGGCTCGGCTTCACTTATTTTACATCCCAGCTTTGTTTTCTAATGATTATCTATATTTGTAATGTTTTAAAAGCTTAAAAGTTTAAAGCAACAAGCTAAAGCAACAGGCTAAAGCACAGGCTAAAGCAACAAGCTAAAGCAACAGGCTAACTGTGTATTGATGTTAGCCTCGATGTGCTACTAGCTAACAGTGAAGACGTCGCTCCCAAACACAAGCTTCTGGATCCTGGGACGAAACGTTTAGTTCTTTTGATGAACAGAGACTTTTACTTTGATCAATAATAAAAAATAAGCGTGAGTTTGATCTGATCTGTCCAAAATCCAAAATATCAGTTTGTGTTTTCTGCATCAGTGATATCAAACTGTAAACACTGGGACTCCCACTCAAAGCCATGGAAAGTGAATAATTAACACTAACTACTGTCACCGTCCAGGACCAGCCTTTGGTGAAGAGGAAGAAACCAAACATTTACAATCTGAGGAATGAGAAAAGAGAGATCTGATCATTTCATAGATAATGATAAATAAACTACAGATCGAAACATTCAGTGAGGAAGTCCAAAGTGTTGACTGTGGACAGGAAGTCTATCTGAGTCTGGATCTGAGTCTGGATCTGAGTCTGGATCTGAGTCTGGATCTGAGTCTGGATCTGAGTCTGGATCTGAGTCTGGATCTGAGTCTGGATCTGAGTCTGGATCTGAGTCTGGATCTGAGTCTGGATCTGAGAGAGAATCTCAGAAACTGCATTAAGTCCAAACCATTTCATAAAGACATGAACAAAACCTCTTTTTTTTTACAAATGTTCTGAAATGAGGACGTTCCTGGTTTACCATAGCCTCATTTCCACCAGCCCCACCCTGCCCTGTTCTGGGGCGGCTGTGGCTCAGACTCAGAGCATTGGCCTTTGAGCCTGAAGGTCGTGGGTTTGAATCCACCACGAGACCTTCTCCACCGACTCCCACTGATGTCGTTTTGTCCTTGGGCAAGACACTTAGCCCACTTTGCCTCTACTCTACTCTCCCCACCTGTGGAACCAGTACCAGGTCCTCCTTTAGTCCCTCTTGGTCCTGGTTCTATCCAGGTTGTTGACCAGAGTGCTGCTGGAAGCCCTGGGTACCAAGGAATTTACTCCAATAATGGTTTGTTGGGAGTAGGTTTCACAGCAGCTAGAGCAGCTAGAGCAGAGCCGAGCAGAGCAGAGCAGAGCAGAGCAGAGTAGAGTAGAGTAGAGTAGAGTAGAGTAGAGTAGAGTAGAGTAGAGTAGAGTAGAATAGAATAGAGCAGAGTAGAGTAGAGTAGAGTAGGGTTGAGTAGAGTAGAGCAGAGCAGAGTAGAGTAGAGTAGAGTAGAGTAGAGTAGAGTAGAGTAGAGTAGAGTAGAGTAGAGTAGAGTAGAGCAGAGCAGAGTAGAGTAGAGTAGAATAGAATAGAGCAGAGCAGAGTAGAGTAGAGTAGAGTAGAGTAGAGTAGAGTAGAGTAGAGTAGAGTAGAGTAGAGCAGAGCAGAGCAGAGCAGAGTAGAGTAGAGTAGAGTAGAGTAGAGTAGAGTAGAGTAGAGTAGAGTAGAGTAGAGTAGAGTAGAGCAGAGTAGAGTAGAGTAGAGTAGAGTAGAGTAGAATAGAATAGAGCAGAGTAGAGTAGAGTAGAGTAGGGTTGAGTAGAGTAGAGTAGAGTAGAGTAGAGCAGAGTAGAGTAGAGTAGAGTAGAGTAGAGTAGAGTAGAGTAGAGTAGAGTAGAGCAGAGTAGAGTAGAGTAGAGTAGAGTAGAGTAGAGTAGAATAGAATAGAGCAGAGTAGAGTAGAGTAGAGTAGAGTAGGGTTGAGTAGAGTAGAGTAGAGTAGAGTAGAGTAGAGCAGAGTAGAGTAGAGTAGAGTAGAGTAGAATAGAATAGAGCAGAGTAGAGTAGAGTAGAGTAGAGTAGGGTTGAGTAGAGTAGAGTAGGGTTGAGTAAGTAATGTTTATTTATAAGTAAGTAATGTTTATTTATTGTTACATATGTAACAATGTTTATTTAGAGTAGAGTAAACAAATAAACAATGTTTATTTAGAGTAGAGTAGAGCAGAGCAGAGCAGAGCAGAGCAGAGCAGAGTAGAGTAGAGTAGAGTAGAGTAGAATAGAGCAGAGTAGAGTAGGGTTGAGTAGAGCAGAGTAGAACAGGGTAGGGTAGGGTTGAGTAGAGTAGAGTAGGGTAGAGTAGGGCAGGGCAGAGCAGAGCAGAGTAGGATTGAGTAGAGTAGGGTAGGGTTGAGTAGGGTTGAGTAGAGTAGAGTAGGGCTGGTGGAAACGGGGCTCATGTCCACACTGTACTAACAGTAGGGTCCTGCTTTAGTGGATGTGAAGATCGAGTCCAGACTCTAAACTTAAAGATTCCAGCTCCTTCCTCTGTGTAGAAGCCGAGCCCTGTGAAGCTGAAGCTTTTGGAGTCGACTGTGTTTAATTTTGTCCAAAGCAGTTTCAGGCGTCACAGTCTGACGAGCTCCTGCGGACCCAGACCTCCTGCTGGGCCTGCTCCTCCTCCTGCTCCTCCTCCTGCTCCTCTTCCTGCTCCTCTTCCTGCTCCTCCTCCTGCTCCTCGTCTGCACTGAGGCTGATCCTCCTCAGCTCCTCCAGGGGGGACAGCAGCTCCTCGCTCTCCAGGGACAGCGTGGAGGCGTGGTCTGCTGTGGAGGCGGGGTCTGCTGTGGAGGCGGGGTCTGCTGTGGAGGCGTTGTCTGCTGTGGAGGCGGGGCCTGCGGTGGAGGCGGGGTCTGCTGTGGAGGCGGGGTCTGCTGTGGAGGCGTGGTCTGCTGTGGAGGCGTGGTCTGCTGTGGAGGCGTGGTCTGCTGTGGAGGCGTTGTCTGCTGTGGAGGCGGGGCCTGCGGTGGAGGCGGGGTCTGCTGTGGAGGCGGGGCCCGCGGTGGAGGCGTGGTCTGCTGTGGAGGCGTGGTCTGCTGTGGAGGCGTGGTCTGCTGTGGAGGCGTGGTCTGCTGTGGAGGCGTGGTCTGCTGTGGAGGCGGGGCCTGCGGTGGAGGCGTGGTCTGCTGTGGAGGCGGGGCCTGCGGTGGAGGCGTGGTCTGCTGTGGAGGCGTGGTCTGCTGTGGAGGCGGGGTCTGCGGTGGAGGCGGGGCCTGCGGTGGAGGCGGGGTCTGCTGTGGAGGCGGGGTCTGCGGTGGAGGCGGGGTCTGCTGTGGAGGCGGGGCCTGCGGTGGAGGCCTTGCTGAGTTTGCGACAGAAGTCTTCGTCCTCGTCGCTCAGAATGTCTGTCTCCTTTACGTGGTCGCGCTTCTCCTCCCGGTCCCGCCCCTCCTGGTCCCGCCCCTCCTGGTCCCGCCCCTCCTGGTCCCGCCCCTCCTGGTAACGCCCCTCCTGGTCCCGCCCCTCCCAGTCACGCCCCTCCTCGTACGGCTCCAGGTCGAACTGCTCCTCCACCCAGCGGTCGGTGTCACACTGCAGGCTGTGGGCGCGCTGCAGCCGCTCCAAAGGGGGGTCTGTGGGGGGGTCTGAGGGGGAGGCCAGGTCTGTGGGGGGGTCTGAGGGGGAGGCCAGGTCTGTGGGGGGGTCCGAGGGGGTGGCCAGGTCTGTGGGGGGGTCCGAGGGGGTGGCCAGGTCTGTGGGGGGGTCCGAGGGGGTGGCCAGGTCGGGGTCGCTGTCGAACACGATGTCAGTGTCGATGGTGAAGCGGTTGCGCAGCAGCTTCCTCCTGCCCAGAGTGCGGGTGGGAGCGGAGGCTGCGGACACAACACGGTTAAAGTAAAAACCCTTTGTTCACACCGGACACAGATGAAGACCCGAGTGGGCCAAAATGGTCCAAAGTGGTCCCAACACATCGGGGTCTCTTGGAAATAAAGGTGTTTTACTTGAAAGTCAGCAGAGCTCTCTCTCTCACCTGTTTGTACTTTTGTTTTATCACTGGTTCGAGTTTACCGGAATGAAAATGTAAGTAATCTCCTCGGTCTTAGATGTGAATTTTAGGTCTGTGCATGTTAGCGTAGCCTGTATGTTAGCGCCTGTACCTGCTCTGTTGATGTGTATGTTAGCGTAGCCTGTATGTTAGCGCCTGTACCTGCTCTGTTGATGTGTATGTTAGCGTAGCCTGTATGTTAGCGCCTGTACCTGCTCTGTTGATGTGTATGTTAGCGTAGCCTGTATGTTAGCGCCTGTACCTGCCCGGTTGATGACGGGCCGCGCCCCCTTCAGCGCACACAGCCGCTTGCCTCCAAAGGGCACGTACTGCTGACTCGGGGGCAGACTCTCGGTCTTCAGCAGCTGCCGTCGCTGCTTCTCCCTCAGGACCGAGTGCACAGACTTCACAAACTCCTTCCTGCTTTCTCCAGAACTGAACAACAAGATATGCACCAATAACAAACAGAGACTTTGGTCCAGAAGAGACAGACACCACTGTTATAAATGTGGATAAAGTCAGAACTTCACTGGTGTCAGACGTCTTCATGAATCATACAACATTATTTGGTTTATTTAGTAAACTGTGTTAAACTTTAGCCGTTTCCACAGGCCCGGCCCGGCTCGGCTCTGCTCCACCTGGATGCTTTTCCATTAAGTATCAAATCTGCAACTTTAGCAAAGTAACAATATCTCTCTCTCTGATCCTTGAGTCTAGTTCTGGGTCTCTCTGATCCTTGAGTCTAGTTCTGGGTCTCTCTGATCCTTGAGTCTAGTTCTGGGTCTCTCTGACCCTTGAGTCTAGTTCTGGGTCTCTTTGATCCTTGAGTCTAGTTCTGGGTCTCTCTGATCCTTGAGTCTAGTTCTGGGTCTCTCTGATCCTTGAGTCTAGTTCTGGGTCTCTCTGATCCTTGAGTCTAGTTCTGGGTCTCTCTGATCCTTGAGTCTAGTTCTGGGTCTCTCTGATCCTTGAGTCTAGTTCTGGGTCTCTCTGATCCTTGAGTCTAGTTCTGGGTCTCTCTGATCCTTGAGTCTAGTTCTGGGTCTCTCTGATCCTTGAGTCTAGTTCTGGGTCTCTCTGATCCTTGAGTCTAGTTCTGGGTCTCTCTGATCCTTGAGTCTAGTTCTGGGTCTCTCTGATCCTTGAGTCTAGTTCTGGGTCTCTCTGATCCTTGAGTCTAGTTCTGGGTCTCTCTGATCCTTGAGTCTAGTTCTGGGTCTCTCTGATCCTTGAGTCTAGTTCTGGGTCTCTCTGATCCTTGAGTCTAGTTCTGGGTCTCTCTGATCCTTGAGTCTAGTTCTGGGTCTCTTTGATCCTTGAGTCTAGTTCTGGGTCTCTTTGATCCTTGAGTCTAGTTCTGGGTCTCTCTGATCCTTGAGTCTAGTTCTGGGTCTCTCTGATCCTTGAGTCTAGTTCTGGGTCTCTCTGATCCTTGAGTCTAGTTCTGGGTCTCTCTGATCCTTGAGTCTAGTCCTGGGTCTCTCTGATCCTTGAGTCTAGTTCTGGGTCTCTCTGATCCTTGAGTCTAGTTCTGGGTCTCTTTGATCCTTGAGTCTAGTTCTGGGTCTCTCTGATCCTTGAGTCTAGTTCTGAGTCTCTCTGATCCTTGAGTCTAGTTCTGGGTCTCTTTGATCTTTGAGTCTAGTTCTGGGTCTCTCTGATCCTTGAGTCTAGTTCTGGGTCTCTCTGATCCTTGAGTCTAGTTCTGGGTCTCTCTGATCCTTGAGTCTAGTTCTGGGTCTCTCTGATCCTTGAGTCTAGTTCTGGGTCTCTCTGATCCTTGAGTCTAGTCCTGGGTCTCTCTGATCCTTGAGTCTAGTCCTGAGTCCGGTCCAGGTGATGTCACCTGCAGCAGAGCTGGAAGACCCGCTCAGGACGTCCCTCTGACTCAGATTTGTTGTGGATGATGTCACACACGGCGGAGCCCTCTCCATCTGCAAAACCATAACACACAGTCACGTGACACAGTGTCATCCAGCCAACTGCTCCACAGCACTAATATAAACACAGTGGATACAGAAGGTTCCCGACGTGGGGAGAGCGTACCTGCGTTGGCCACACAGCGCACCTGCAGAGCGTTGGTCGGAGTCATGTGACGAAAGCGAAACGGGTCTTTGTCCTCGGTCGCCACGGACGCTCTGTGAGCCCCGCCCTGCGCCACACACACCCATCAGCAGGGTTCACCAGGCAAGGTTATCTGTATAGCACAGTTCATACACACTGGGACTCTGAGGAGCACAGGGACTGGCCTCCTGCTCTGAGGAGCACAGGGACTGGCCTCCTGCTCTGAGGAGCACAGGGACTGGCCTCCTGACTCTGAGGAGCACAGGGACTGGCCTCCTGCTCTGAGGAGCACAGGGACTGTCCTCCTGCTCTAAGGAGCACAGGGACTGTCCTCCTGACTCTGAGGAGCACAGGGACTGTCCTCCTGACTCTGAGGAGCACAGGGACTGGCCTCCTGCTCTGAGGAGCACAGGGACTGGCCTCCTGCTCTGAGGAGCACAGGGACTGGCCTCCTGCTCTGAGGAGCACAGGGACTGGCCTCCTGCTCTGAGGCGCACAGGGACTGGCCTCCTGCTCTGAGGAGCACAGGGACTGGCCTCCTGCTCTGAGGAGCACAGGGACTGTCCTCCTGACTCTGAGGAGCACAGGGACTGTCCTCCTGACTCTGAGGAGCACAGGGACTGGCCTCCTGCTCTGAGGAGCACAGGGACTGTCCTCCTGCTCTGAGGAGCACAGGGACTGTCCTCCTGCTCTGAGGAGCACAGGGACTGGCCTCCTGCTCTGAGGAGCACAGGGACTGGCCTCCTGCTCTGAGGAGCACAGGGACTGTCCTCCTGACTCTGAGGAGCACAGGGACTGTCCTCCTGACTCTGAGGAGCACAGGGACTGGCCTCCTGCTCTGAGGAGCACAGGGACTGTCCTCCTGCTCTGAGGAGCACAGGGACTGTCCTCCTGCTCTGAAGAGCACAGGGACTGTCCTCCTGACTCTGAGGAGCACAGGGACTGGCCTCCTGACTCTGAGGAGCACAGGGACTGTCCTCCTGACTCTGAGGAGCACAGGGACTGGCCTCCTGCTCTGAGGCGCACAGGGACTGGCCTCCTGCTCTGAGGCGCACAGGGACTGGCCTCCTGCTCTGAGGAGCACAGGGACTGGCCTCCTGCTCTGAGGAGCACAGGGACTGTCCTCCTGACTCTGAGGAGCACAGGGACTGGCCTCCTGCTCTGAGGAGCACAGGGACTGTCCTCCTGCTCTGAGGAGCACAGGGACTGTCCTCCTGCTCTGAGGAGCACAGGGACTGGCCTCCTGCTCTGAGGAGCACAGGGACTGTCCTCCTGCTCTGAGGAGCACAGGGACTGGCCTCCTGCTCTGAGGAGCACAGGGACTGTCCTCCTGACTCTGAGGAGCACAGGGACTGTCCTCCCGCTCTGAGGCGCACAGGGACTGGCCTCCTGACTCTGAGGAGCACAGGGACTGGCCTCCTGCTCTGAGGAGCACAGGGACTGGCCTCCTGACTCTGAGGAGCACAGGGACTGTCCTCCTGACTCTGAGGAGCACAGGGACTGGCCTCCTGCTCTGAGGAGCACAGGGACTGGCCTCCTGCTCTGAGGAGCACAGGGACTGGCCTGCTGCTCTGAGGAGCACAGGGACTGTCCTCCTGACTCTGAGGAGCACAGGGACTGGCCTCCTGCTCTGAGGAGCACAGGGACTGGCCTCCTGACTCTGAGGAGCACAGGGACTGTCCTCCCGCTCTGAGGCGCACAGGGACTGGCCTCCTGACTCTGAGGAGCACAGGGACTGGCCTGCTGCTCTGAGGAGCACAGGGACTGTCCTCCTGACTCTGAGGAGCACAGGGACTGGCCTCCTGCTCTGAGGAGCACAGGGACTGGCCTCCTGCTCTGAGGAGCACAGGGACTGGCCTCCTGCTCTGAGGAGCACAGGGACTGTCCTCCTGACTCTGAGGAGCACAGGGACTGTCCTCCTGCTCTGAGGAGCACAGGGACTGGCCTCCTGACTCTGAGGAGCACAGGGACTGGCCTCCTGACTCTGAGGAGCACAGGGACTGGCCTCCTGCTCTGAGGAGCACAGGGACTGGCCTCCTGCTCTGAGGAGCACAGGGACTGTCCTCCTGACTCTGAGGAGCACAGGGACTGTCCTCCTGCTCTGAGGAGCACAGGGACTGGCCTCCTGACTCTGAGGAGCACAGGGACTGGCCTCCTGACTCTGAGGAGCACAGGGACTGGCCTCCTGCTCTGAGGAGCACAGGGACTGGCCTCCTGCTGTAGTCTTGTGTATGAACTGTGCTACACACATAAACTTACCTTCCTTCATCATGTCACACTCACCGTCTTCTTCTTCTGTTTGGAGCCGTCTTTACAGATGAAAACCACCGCTGTCCGAAAGACTGGACACAGACAAACACATCAGCATCTGTCTACTGACGACCTACTGACGACCTACTGACGACCTACTGACGACCTACTGACGACCTACTGACGACCTACTGACGACCTACTGACGACCTACTGACGAACCTACTGACGACCTACTGACAAACCTACTGATGATCTACTGCGACCCACTGATGACCTACTGATGATCTACTGATGACCTACTGACAACCTACTGATGACCTACTGACGACCTACTGATGATCTACTGATGATCTACTGCAACCTACTGATGACCTACTGACGACCTACTGATGATCTACTGATGATCTACTGCAACCTACTGATGACCTACTGCGACCTACTGATGACCTACTGATGATCTACTGATGACCTACTGACGACCTACTGACGACCTACTGACGACCTACTGACAACCTACTGATGACCTACTGATGACCTATTGATGATCTACTGACGACCTACTGACGACCTACTGATGACCTACTGATGATTTACTGATGACCTACTGACGACCTACTGACGACCTACTGACGACCTACTGACAACCTACTGATGACCTACTGATGACCTATTGATGATCTACTGACGACCTACTGATGACCTACTGATGATTTACTGATGACCTACTGATGACCTACTGATGATCTACTGATGATCTACTGACGACCTACTGACGACCTACTGATGACCTACTGATGACCTACTGATGATCTACTGATGATCTACTGATGATCTACTGACGACCTACTGACGACCTACTGATGACCTACTGATGACCTACTGACGACCTACTGATGATCTACTGATGATCTACTGCGACCCACTGATGACCTACTGACGATCTACTGATGATCTACTGCAACCTACTGATGACCTACTGCGACCTACTGATGACCTACTGATGATCTACTGATGACCTACTGACGACCTACTGATGACCTACTGACGACCTACTGACGACCTACTGATGATCTACTGATGATCTACTGACGACCTACTGACGACCTACTGATGACCTACTGATGATTTACTGATGACCTACTGATGATACACACTGACCACCAAACTCACCAAAGGCAGCAATCTGTGGCTCTTTTTTCCACTTTCCCAGAGACAGCGGAGGGTTCAGCCACGAGACGGTGGTGTGCAGCAGGAGGTCTCCCATCGACAGATCTGCCACCTGCAACACACACACACAGAGACACACACACACATACACAGACATACACAGACACACACACACATACACATACACAGACACACACACACACACACATACACAGACACACACACACACACACAGTCACATGCACACATATACATACACACACACAGACACACACAATTGTTTAGTGTATAAATGTATAAATGTAGAGAGTGAGTGTGTGCATGTGTGTATCTGTGTGTGTGTGTGTGTGTGTGTGTGTGTGTGTGTGTGTGTGTGTGTGTGTGTGTGTACCTCCTTCTTGTCTCCGGTCTGTTCTGTGATCAGTTGGTCGAACACGGCTCCAAACTCCTCGTGGATTTTCTGCATCTCGTTGATGTGACTCGCCACTTTGTTCATGGCCTTCATTGCCACTACACACAGACACACACATGTTAGACACACACATGTTTGACACACACATGTTAGACACACACATGTTTGACACACACATGTTTGACACACACATGTTTGACACACACACGCACACACACATGTTAGACACACACGTTTGACACACACGTTTGACACACACGTTAGACACACACAGAGATACACATGTTTGACACACACAGAGATACACATGTTTGACACACACGTTAGACACACACATGTTTGACACACACAGAGATACACATGTTTGACACACACAGAGACACACACACACAGAGGAGCTCTTTCTAAAGCCTAGCGTACATCGGACTGGCAACTGATTATATCCGTCGCCTCTGAGTTGCTGCCCCGCACACATCGACAATCTGACGAAAACGGGCAACTCTGAGTCGCAGGCCAGTCTCTTGAATAACAGCGCGTACATCGACAGCAACTGGCCTCAACCACAGTGTGTTTTCTGACATAAACTGTTGCGGGCTCGCAATACACGCAATACACACACGTTGTTGGAGCGGCGCATGGAGCGCGCACATCGGGGCAACTGAGGACAACTAGTTGCCGAAAAGTAGAACACGGGCAACTGACTGGAACTGGAGACCGACTGATCATCTCCAGTTGTAAGAGCGCTCACATCGACCGATTTCGGCAACTGATCATCTCCCACCATCTCCTCTCAGTTGCCAAAAGCCGCCTTGCAACTAGTTGTCTCCAGTTTCTCTGTCGATGTACGCTAGGCTTAACAAATACACATGTTATTGTAAAACGCCTCCAGCTCCTTCAGAAACGACAAACTGTGTGACGTCTAAAGTTCATTCCTCAGTCAATCCAAACATTATACTGTGAGGATTCGATATCACTGTGATTCTGACATATCACGATACAGACAGTATGTGATTCTGACATATCACGATACAGACAGTCTGTGATTCTAACATATCACGATACAGACAGTCTGTGATTCTAACATATCACATTACAGACAGTCTGTGATTCTAACATATCACGATACAGACAGTCTGTGATTCTAACATATCACGATACAGACAGTCTGTGATTCTAACATATCACGATACAGACAGTCTGTGATTCTGACATATCACAATACAGACAGTCTGTGATTCTGACATATCACGATACAGACAGTCTGTGATTCTAACATATCACGATACAGACAGTCTGTGACTCTAACATATCACGATACAGACAGTCTGTGATTCTGACATATCACGATACAGACAGTCTGTGATTCTAACATATCACGATACAGACAGTCTGTGATTCTGACATATCACGATACAGACAGTCTGTGATTCTAACATATCACGATACAGACAGTCTGTGATTCTAACATATCACGATACAGACAGTCTGTGATTCTGACATATCACGATACAGACAGTCTGTGATTCTAACATATCACGATACAGACAGTCTGTGATTCTAACATATCACGATACAGACAGTCTGTGATTCTAACATATCACGATACAGACAGTCTGTGATTCTAACATATCACGATACAGACAGTCTGTGATTCTGACATATCACGATACAGACAGTCTGTGATTCTAACATATCACGATACAGACAGTCTGTGATTCTAACATATCACGATACAGACAGTCTGTGATTCTGACATATCACGATACAGACAGTCTGTGATTCTAACATATCACGATACAGACAGTCTGTGATTCTAACATATCACGATACAGACAGTCTGTGATTCTAACATATCACGATACAGACAGTCTGTGATTCTAACATATCACGATACAGACAGTCTGTGATTCTAACATATCACGATACAGACAGTCTGTGATTCTAACATATCACGATACAGACAGTCTGTGATTCTGACATATCACGATACAGACAGTCTGTGATTCTAACATATCACGATACAGACAGTCTGTGATTCTAACATATCACGATACAGACAGTCTGTGATTCTAACATATCACGATACAGACAGTCTGTGATTCTAACATATCACGATACAGACAGTCTGTGATTCTAACATATCACGATACAGACAGTCTGTGATTCTAACATATCACGATACAGACAGTCTGTGATTCTGACATATCACGATACAGACAGTCTGTGATTCTAACATATCACGATACAGACAGTCTGTGATTCTGACATATCACGATACAGACAGTCTGTGATTCTAACATATCACGATACAGACAGTCTGTGATTCTGACATATCACGATACAGACAGTCTGTGATTCTAACATATCACGATACAGACAGTCTGTGATTCTGACATATCACGATACAGACAGTCTGTGATTCTAACATATCACGATACAGACAGTCTGTGATTCTGACATATCACGATACAGACAGTCTGTGATTCTGACATATCACGATACAGACAGTCTGTGATTCTGACATATCACGATACAGACAGTCTGTGATTCTGACATATCACGATACAGACAGTCTGTGATTCTGACATATCACGATACAGACAGTATTTAATTCTGTGATATATCGTGATCGTGAGAATCAGCACCTCCAAATCCGAGGCCATGGTGCTCGACCGGAAAAAGGTGCCTTGCCCTCTCCAGGTGGGTGGAGAGGTCCTTCCTCAAGTGGAGGAGTTCAAGTATCTCGGGGTCTTGTTCACGAGTGAGGGAAGAATGGAGCGTGAGATTGACAGGCGGATCGGTGCAGCGTGCGCAGTGATGCGGTCGCTGTATCGGACCGTTGTGGTGAAGAGGGAGCAGCGTCTGCAGTCAGAGCTGTATTGGACCGTTGTGGTAAAGAGGGAGCTGAGCCGAAAGGCGAAGCTCTCGATTTACCGGTCAATCTTCGTTCCCTCTCTCACCTATGGTCATGAGCTTTGGGTAATGACCGAAAGAACGAGATCGCGGATACAAGCGGTCGAAATGAGCTTCTTCCGCAGAGTGGCTGCTCCCTTAGAGATAGGGTGAGGAGCTCAGTCACACGGGAGGAGCTCGGAGTAGAACCGCTGCTTCTCCATGTCGAGAGGAACCAGTTGAGGTGGCTCGGGCATCCGTTCCTGGACGCCTCCCTGGGGAGGTGTTCCGGGCACGGAAGACCCAGGACACAGAGGAACTATGTCTCTCAGCTGGCCTGGGAACGCCTTGGGGTCCCCCCGGACGAGCTGGAGGAAGTGTGTGTGGATAGGGAAGTCTGGGCGTCTCTGCTTAGACTGCTGCCCCCGCGACCCGGCAACGGATAAAGCGGAAGAAAATGGCTGGATGGATATCAGATCAGATCAGATCAGATCAGATTCAGATTCATTTATTTGCCATTTGCAGCAAAACCACATTGGAAAAACTGTGCAAGACTACCCCGGTGTGCACCAGATATATCGTGATTCATGTTCATATTATTCAAAGACTTTGCAAACAAGGAGGAATATGTTTGTGAAGTAATTTTCCTCACCCGCCACACACACACACACACACACACAGACACACATACACACACACACACACACACACACACACACACAGACACACACACACAGACACACACACACAGACACACACACACACACAGACACACACACACAGACACACACACACACACACACACACACACACACACACACACACACACACACACACAGACACACACACAGACACACACACACACACACAGACACACACAGACACACACACACAGACACACACACACAGACACACACACACACACACACACACACACACACACACACACACACACACACACACACACACACACAGACACACACAGTACCGTGCAGGTGGTAGTGCTCCTCACTGTCCGGGTCAGTGAGGGTGTAGAGTTCCCTCAGCAGCAGGGGGTACTTCAGGACCCTCTGGATGGGTTTGATGAGGTACGACTCCAGCGTGGACGAGTGCTGCTGCTTCGGGTTCCTCTCCTCCAGGAACGACTTGAACTCAGGCTCTGTTTTGGCTGCAGCAGAAAACACGTGACATCACCTCCATGTTTATCATCACTGACCCGACATCAGTCCTTCCACAGTCGATGATGTCATAGCCACAGGTCGAACCAAATCCTTCGACCACAGAGCGAGTGTGACATCACCACAGTGTTAGCTTTCATAAACAGCTTAGTGCCAACTTCCTTATATGGACATCTGTTCTGATGGTGTTAGTTTGGTCTCTCTGGTTTCTCTCTCTGGTTTCTCTCTCTCTCTGGTCTCTCTCTGGTCTCTCTCTCTGGTCTCTCTCTGGTCTCTCTGGTTTCTCTCTCTCTCTCTCTGGTCTCTCTGGTTTCTCTCTCTCTCTCTCTGGTCTCTCTCTCTGGTCTCTCTGGTTTCTCTCTCTCTCTCTCTGGTCTCTCTGGTTTCTCTCTCTCTCTCTCTGGTCTCTCTCTGGTCTCTCTGGTTTCTCTCTCTCTGGTCTCTCTCTGGTCTCTCTCTCTGGTCTCTCTCTCTGGTCTCTCTCTGGTCTCTCTCTCTCTCACCTTTGTCCAGCACCTTGGGCACCTTGGTGTGGCTGGCACAGAAGGCGCTGTAGAGTTTGAAGCGATCTGCGTAGTAGAGGAAGGATCCGCCCAGAGAGAAGAGGATTTTCTGTTACACACAACACAAGAGCACAGGTACACATGATCACAGGTACACATGGTCACGGGGACACATGGTCACAGGGACACAAGAGAACAGGTACACATGGTCACAGGGACACATGGTCACAGGGACTCTGGTCTCTCTCTCTGGTCTCTCTCTCTGGTCTCTCTCTGGTCTCTCTCTCTGGTCTCTCTCTGGTCTCTCTCTGGTCTCTCTCTGGTCTCTCTCTGGTCCCTCTCTGGTCCCTCTCTGGTCTCTCTCTCTGGTCTCTCTCTCTGGTCTCTCTCTCTGGTCTCTCTCTGGTCTCTCTCTGGTCTCTCTCTGGTCTCTCTCTGGTCTCTCTCTCTGGTCTCTCTCTGGTCCTTCTCTGGTCCCTCTCTGGTCTCTCTCTCTGGTCTCTCTCTCTGGTCTCTCTCTCTGGTCTCTCTCTGGTCTCTCTCTGGTCCCTCTCTGGTCCCTCTCTGGTCTCTCTCTCTGGTCTCTCTCTGGTCTCTCTCTGGTCTCTCTCTCTGGTCTCTCTCTCTGGTCTCTCTCTGGTCTCTCTCTGGTCTCTCTCTGGTCCCTCTCTGGTCCCTCTCTGGTCTCTCTCTCTGGTCTCTCTCTCTGGTCTCTCTCTCTGGTCTCTCTCTGGTCTCTCTCTGGTCCCTCTCTCTGGTCTCTCTCTCTGGTCTCTCTCTGGTCTCTCTCTGGTCCCTCTCTGGTCCCTCTCTGGTCTCTCTCTCTGGTCTCTCTCTCTGGTCTCTCTCTCTGGTCTCTCTCTGGTCTCTCTCTGGTCACTGGTAAGGAGTTGTTTGTGCAGAATGTGATGAAAGTTGAATGAGACTCTCAGACTTTTCTTCGTCACAAACAAAATGATTGAAAAGTCAAGTGTCTCCAGATCCATCCACAGCTGGAAATGTCAGACTCTTCAGGTTCAGACGGAGCCGCGCAGGAACAATCCTCTATGTCTATGTTTTAACTGGTGAAAAAACAGCAGTTATCTCTGAGGACTAGGGAGTAGAGTAGAGTAGAGTAGAGTAGAGTAGAGTAGGGCAGGGCAGAGAAGGGTAGAGTAGAGTAGAGTAGAGTAGAGTAGGGTAGGGTAGGGTAGAGTGTGTTTCTCTGTGACAGCTCCATCACAACATGTCAGACTGAAACACACAAGCATCATTTACAGTCCTGCTCCAGACTCAACACTTCCTGACTGAAGACAAGAGGGTTCTGCCCCCTCTCCCCTCTCTCTCTCTCTCCCCCCTCTCCCCTCTCTCCCCCTCTCTCTCTCTCTCTAGTTTAGTTTAGTTTAGTTTAGTCTTTATTTGAAGGGACAGTGTACAGAGAGAGACAAGTCTCTCTCTCCCCCTCTCTCTCCCCTCTCGCTCTCCCCTCTGCACCAACATGAAACCCATCATTAAAACTACTGTACAATCAAACTGTGTCCACCTGCTTCAGCCTTTTGGGAAAAACTCATTTTGCAAATACTGAAAAACGAAACGTCGGAAAAACAGATGATGGGAGTATAGTTACTGTGTTCAGTATAGTTACTGTGTTCAGTATAGTTACTGTGCTCAGTATAGTTACTGTGTTCAGTATAGTTACTGTGTTCAGTATAGTTACTGTGTTCAGTATAGCTACTGTGCTCAGTATAGTTACTGTGTTCAGTATAGTTACTGTGTTCAGTATAGTTACTGTGCTCAGTATAGTTACTGTGCTCAGTATAGTTACTGTGTAGAGTATAGTTACTGTGTTCAGTATAGTTACTTTGTTCAGTATAGTTACTGTGTTCAGTATAGTTACTGTGTAGAGTATAGTTACTGTGTTCAGTATAGTTACTGTGTAGAGTATAGTTACTGTGTTCAGTATAGTCACTGTGTAGAGTATAGTTACTGTGCTCAGTATAGTTACTGTGCTCAGTATAGTTACTGTGCTCAGTATAGTTACTGTGTAGAGTATAGTTACTGTGTTCAGTATAGTTACTTTGTTCAGTATAGTTACTGTGTTCAGTATAGTTACTGTGTAGAGTATAGTTACTGTGCTCAGTATAGTTACTGTGTTCAGTATAGTTACTGTTTTCAGTATAGTTACTGTGCTCAGTATAGTTACTGTGTTCAGTATAGTTACTGTGCTCAGTATAGTTACTGTGTTCAGTATAGTTACTGTGCTCAGTATAGTTACTGTGTTCAGTATAGTTACTGTGTTCAGTATAGTTACTGTGCTCAGTATAGTTACTGTGCTCAGTATAGTTACTGTGTTCAGTATAGTTACTGTGCTCAGTATAGTTACTGTGTAGAGTATAATTACTGTGCTCAGTATAGTTACTGTGTTCAGTATAGTTACTGTGCTCAGTATAGTTACTGTGCTCAGTATAGTTACTGTGTTCAGTATAGTTACTGTGCTCAGTATAGTTACTGTGCTCAGTATAGTTACTGTGTTCAGTATAGTTACTGTGTTCAGTATAGTTACTGTGCTCAGTATAGTTACTGTGCTCAGTATAGTTACTGTGTAGAGTATAGTTACTGTGCTCAGTATAGTTACTGCTCAGTATAGTTACTGTGTTCAGTATAGTTACTGTGTAGAGTATAGTTACTGTGTTCAGTATAGTTACTGTGTTCAGTATAGTTACTCTTCAGTATAGTTACTGTGTTCAGTATAGTTACTGTGTTCAGTATAGTTACTGTGCTCAGTATAGTTACTGTGTTCAGTATAGTTACTGTGCTCAGTATAGTTACTGTGTTCAGTATAGTTACTGTGCTCAGTATAGTTATTGTGCTCAGTATAGTTACTGTGTAGAGTATAGTTACTGTGTAGAGTATAGTTACTGTGTTCAGTATAGTTACTGTGTAGAGTATAGTTACTGTGTTCCGTATAGTTACTGTGCTCAGTATAGTTACTGTGTTCAGTATAGTTACTGTGTAGAGTATAGTTACTGTGTTCAGTATAGTGTTAGTATAGTTACTGTGCTCAGTATAGTTACTGTGCTCAGTATAGTTACTGTGTAGAGTATAGTTACTGTGTTCAGTATAGTTACTGTGCTCAGTATAGTTACTGTGTAGAGTATAGTTACTGTGCTCAGTATAGTTACTGTGTAGAGTATAGTTACTGTGTTCAGTATAGTTACTGTGCTCAGTATAGTTACTGTGCTCAGTATAGTTACTGTGTAGAGTATAGTTACTGTGTTCAGTATAGTTACTTTGTTCAGTATAGTTACTGTGTTCAGTATAGTTACTGTGTAGAGCAGGGGTGGCCAACCCGCGGCTCGTGAGCCGCATGCGGCTCTTTGGCTGGTTCCGTGCGGCTCTCGGGCTTTCACACGACAAGCGTCAAAAACGCCTCGATGGTGGCGCTGCCTTTCATTCCATATGTAGTTCTGACCAATAGTAAAGGCAGACTTCACTCCACTAGCCAGGCCGCCAAAACAATCTGACGTCGGCGAACGTCAATTCTGGTTGGTCAGATGCATTGTCAATCACTCTGCAGCTGCTACCTCAGCTGTAGCAAATATCATAACAAACAACACGTTGCCTCGAACCATGACGTCCGTACGGAAAACAATTCCTTGGTCGCTGGATGAGGGCAACACCTTCCTCAGTTTGAGGAGAGGACACCAGCCTGATCTCGCTGGTTCCACCAGAAACCAGAAGGTGTTTGTGGAGCTAGCGCTAAGGACGGAGCAGAATGATTCCCACAAACATGACAATGCAGAGAAAAGTTAAAAAGCTTAAAAGTGACAACCGTGAAATGAAAGATCGCAGCAGCAGAAGTAGAGGCAGACCCGAAAAGTCTGGAGGTGGTTTAACCAAATGGATTACATTTACGGACATCGGCTAACACCGGCTAACATGCTAAAACCAGCTAACACCAGCTAACATGCTAAAACCAGCTAACACCAGCTAACATGCTAAAACCAGCTAACACCAGCTAACATGCTAAAACCAGCTAACAACAGCTAACATGCTAAAACCAGCTAACAACAGCTAACATGCTAAAACCAGCTAACAACAGCTAACATGCTAAAACCAGCTAACACCGGCTACACCAGGAGATAAGCCAACTCTGCCTGGTGAGTGTCTGTCTTCAATCAAATGCAAAAGTATCTGGTCTTATACTGAGCATGTGTCTGTGGTTCTAAATCAGCTAAAGTGGTGTTGGTGTTATGTGTCAAATCTATATCTTTTACTAAAGACAGTTGTGTTTCTGCTGAACACTGGGTTGAAACTAGATTTTTTTTTCTTGGTTAGAGATTGAAAGCATTCATTTCGGAATCATAATTGATGTTCGCTGACGTGCAATTGTTCTGGTATCGACTCGCCCGGTTAGAACCAGGGCCAAACCATTAATAAAAAGTACCGGGGAGCGGCTGAAGCGAGCGGTAGAAGCGCCCGCAAACCGGGGAGAGTTCAGCCCTTTAGTGCTGTACGAGTCAATTTCTGTCATTATCATGTTGATGACATTTACAATAAATCTGTCTGAGCAGAGCACACCTCTCTCTGCTCAGACAGATTGCATGTGTGTGCGCGTGTCTGCTCGTGTGCGTACGTGCCCGTGTGCGTGCGTGTGTAAGGGTTGGGGTGATGTTTATGTAGTGCACATTTGTATGATGTGGCTCTTTGCTGTAACACAGTAAAAAAAATTGGCTCTTAGTCTCTGACTGGTTGGCCACCCCTGGTGTAGAGTATAGTTACTGTGCTCAGTATAGTTACTGTGTTCAGTATAGTTACTGTTTTCAGTATAGTTACTGTGCTCAGTATAGTTACTGTGCTCAGTATAGTTACTGTGTTCAGTATAGTTACTGTGTAGAGTATAGTTACTGTGCTCAGTATAGTTACTGTGTTCAGTATAGTTACTGTGTTCAGTATAGTTACTGTGTTCAGTATAGTTACTGTGTTCAGTATAGTTACTGTGTAGAGTATAGTTACTGTGCTCAGTATAGTTACTGTGTTCAGTATAGTTACTGTTTTCAGTATAGTTACTGTGCTCAGTATAGTTACTGTGCTCAGTATAGTTACTGTGTTCAGTATAGTTACTGTGTTCAGTATAGTTACTGTGCTCAGTATAGTTACTGTGCTCAGTATAGTTACTGTGTTCAGTATAGTTACTGTGTTCAGTATAGTTACTGTGTAGAGTATAGTTACTGTGTTCAGTATAGTTACTGTGTTCAGTATAGTTACTCTTCAGTATAGTTACTGTGTTCAGTATAGTTACTGTGTAGAGTATAGTTACTGTGTTCAGTATAGTTACTGTGCTCAGTATAGTTACTGTGTAGAGTATAGTTACTGTGCTCAGTATAGTTACTGTGTAGAGTATAGTTACTGTGTTCAGTATAGTTACTGTGCTCAGTATAGTTACTGTGCTCAGTATAGTTACTGTGCTCAGTATAGTTACTGTGTAGAGTATAGTTACTGTGTTCAGTATAGTTACTTTGTTCAGTATAGTTACTGTGTTCAGTATAGTTACTGTGTAGAGTATAGTTACTGTGCTCAGTATAGTTACTGTGTTCAGTATAGTTACTGTGTTCAGTATAGTTACTGTGCTCAGTATAGTTACTGTGCTCAGTATAGTTACTGTGTTCAGTATAGTTACTGTGTAGAGTATAGTTACTGTGTTCAGTATAGTTACTGTGCTCAGTATAGTTACTGTGTAGAGTATAGTTACTGTGCTCAGTATAGTTACTGTGTAGAGTATAGTTACTGTGTTCAGTATAGTTACTGTGCTCAGTATAGTTACTGTGCTCAGTATAGTTACTGTGTAGAGTATAGTTACTGTGTTCAGTATAGTTACTTTGTTCAGTATAGTTACTGTGTTCAGTATAGTTACTGTGTAGAGTATAGTTACTGTGCTCAGTATAGTTACTGTGTTCAGTATAGTTACTGTGTTCAGTATAGTTACTGTGCTCAGTATAGTTACTGTGCTCAGTATAGTTACTGTGTTCAGTATAGTTACTGTGTAGAGTATAGTTACTGTGCTCAGTATAGTTACTGTGTTCAGTATAGTTACTGTTTTCAGTATAGTTACTGTGCTCAGTATAGTTACTGTGTTCAGTATAGTTACTGTGTTCAGTATAGTTACTGTGCTCAGTATAGTTACTGTGTTCAGTATAGTTACTGACCTTGAACTGCTCGACCCGCTCCAGTTGGTCCAGGTCCGGTACCAGCCTCGTCCCGTCCTCCAGAGTCTGCAGGAACTCCACCTGGAACTGCACCATCTCCACTAGGTTCCCACACAGCACCTCCAGCTGCAACAGACCCAGTGTTACACAGCTGCAACAGACCCAGTGGTACACAGCTGCAACAGACCCAGTGGTACACAGCTGCAACAGACCCAGTGTTACACAGCTGCAACAGACCCAGTGTTACACAGCTGCAACAGACCCAGTGTTACACAGCTGCAACAGACCCAGTGTTACACAGCTGCAACAGACCCAGTGGTACACAGCTGCAACAGACCCAGTGGTACACAGCTGCAAAAGACAGGACTCTCTGTGCGGTCACAGGCAGAGCCTGAGCTGGATGTTCTCATGAGCCAGAACCAGCTTCTCTTAAGGACCTGATCTTAGTCTGGTCTGGTCTGGTGCGGTCTGGTCTGAGTTAACCTGGTCAGAGCCTGTGGTTTCATCCTCAGTGTTTCCAGAGTCTCTGTTACATAAACCTTTGCTCAGAGCTTCTGTTCCAACAGCTCTGGGTCCAAGTCACGATGCACTAAGAACAGAACCTGCTTTTTCTAAACTGTTTAAAAACTGTTCATGTGGTTCCTTATGTTTACATTATTATTATTATATTAGCGGTCCAAATGAGCTTCCTCCGCAGAGCCGCTGCTCCCTTAGAGATAGAGGAGCTCGGAGTAGAGCCGCTGCTCCCTTAGAGATAGAGGCGCTCGGAGTAGAGCCGCTGCTCCCTTAGAGATAGAGGACCTCAGTCACATGGGAGGAGCTCGGAGTAGAGCCGCTGCTCCCTTAGAGATAGAGGACCTCAGTCACATGGGAGGAGCTCGGAGTAGAGCCGCTGCTCCCTTAGAGATAGAGGACCTCAGTCACATGGGAGGAGCTCGGAGTAGAGCCGCTGCTCCCTTAGAGATAGAGGACCTCAGTCACATGGAAGGAGCTCGGAGTAGAGCCGCTGCTCCCTTAGAGATAGAGGACCTCAGTCACATGGGAGGAGCTAATTAAGTTTTAGGCCAAAAAATATTAATTCATCTTTGAGCAAAAATCTTTTTGAATGAGTCATAAAACATTAAAACCCAGAGGACAGAGCCACAGCTGAACACAGACTGTTCACTGACGGACCATGCTAACATGCTAACGCTAACACGCTAGCTCTACCCGCTAGGGAAGTGCTCATTGACAAAGTTTTGTTCCAACTCGCTCCTATTGCCTTCCATGGAAATCAGTGACATCACTCTCAATACTTTATATACTTATACTTTATATACTTATACTTCATATAAACTTATACTTATACTTATACTTATATTATTATTATTATTATTTTTTGTTTTTGTTTTTTAATCTATGAACCAGTTCTATCTGTGTTCTTAATAAAGAATGAATTGAATTGAATTGAATTATACTTAATAAAACAACGCACCTCGTCCTGAGACAGAAACTTCTCCTTCTGCAGCGGCCGCAGGTATCGACCAATCAGGAAGTTCAGATCCTGAAGACACACAGAGGAGAAGGTCTGGGACAGGTCTGGTCCAGGTCTGGGTCCAGGTCTGGGTCTAGGTCTGTTCCAGGTCTGGTCCAGGTCTGGATCTAGGTCCAGGTCTGGGTCTAGGTCTGGTCCAGCTCTGGTCCAGGTCTGGGTCTAGGTCTGGTCCAGGTCTGGGTCTAGGTCTGGATCTGGGTCCAGGTCTGGGTCTAGGTCTGGTCCAGGTCTGGTCCAGGTCTGGGTCTAGGTCTGGGTCCAGGTCTGGGTCCAGGTCTGGGTAAACTGACCTTGACGTAGGTCCGCTCGGTCTCCACCAGTTCCCCGATGACCTTCCGGAGCTTGTCTGCGTCAGAGAGTTGCTTGGGGGGAGTGAGGGGGAGGTGGGGGAGGAAGGGGGAGTCAGGGCTGGGGGACGACGACAGACACTCTGAGGGGTTCATCTCATGGAGGCTGCGGCAGAAGGAGGCCACCTGCTCCGTGCTCTGGGGAGAGAGAGGAGAGGGGTGAGACCAGGTGGGACCAGGTGGGACCAGGTCTGCTCTGAGGAGAGAGTGGGTCTCTCTCTGGTCTCTCTCTGGTCTCTCTCTGGTCTCTCTAGTCTCTCTCTGGTCTCTCTGGTCTCTCTGGTCTCTCTCTGGTCTCTCTCTGGTCTCTCTCTGGTCTCTCTCTGGTCTCTCTCTCTGGTCTCTCTCTCTGGTCTCTCTCTCTGGTCTCTCTCTGGTCTCTCTAGTCTCTCTCTGGTCTCTCTGGTCTCTCTGGTCTCTCTCTGGTCTCTCTCTGGTCTCTCTCTGGTCTCTCTCTGGTCTCTCTCTCTGGTCTCTCTCTCTGGTCTTCTCTCTCTGGTCTCTCTCTCTGGTCTCTCTCTCTGGTCTCTCTCTCTGGTCTCTCTCTGGTCTCTCTCTCTGGTCTCTCTCTCTGGTCTCTCTCTGGTCTCTCTCTGGTCTCTCTCTGGTCTCTGGTTCTTGTTTCCACGGCGGCTGCTATAAAAACAACTGTTATCTAATGTTCTCAGCTCCATGTGCTGCCTCCATTTGTTCATTTGATCCTGATCCAACTCAGATCTGAGACCAGCTGATCAGAGAGAGACCAGAGAGAGACCAGAGAGAGACCAGAGAGAGACCAGAGAGAGAGACCAGAGAAAGACCAGAGAAAGACCAGAGAGAGACCAGAGAGGGACCATAGAGAGTCCAGAGAAAGAGACAAGAATGAGACCAGAGAGAGACCAGAGGAGAGACCAGAGAAGACCAGAGAGAGAGACCAGAGAGAGAGAGGGACCAGAGAGAGACCAGAGAAAGACCATAGAGAAGACCAGAGGAGACTATATGAATCAAGTTTTACGATGGAGTAGATCTCCACAAGCTCAGGTCTGGCTCTGATCCAAAGTACTTGCTAGAGGGAAGGAAACAGGCTCTAAATCGGACAGTCACCAGTTGACAGAGCTAGGAGGAGAGAGGAGAGAGAAGGAGAGAGGTGAGGAGGAGAGAGAGGAGAAGAGGAGAGAGGTGAGAGGAGAGAGGAGAGAGAGAGAAGGAGAGGAGGAAGAGAGGAGAGAGAGAGGAGAAGGAGAGAGGAAGAGAGGAGAGGAGGGAGAGAGAGAGAGGGAGGGAGAGAGAGGAGAGAGAGAGAGAAGAGAGGAGGAGAGAGGTAGAGAGAACGGAGAGAGGAGAGAGGAGGGAGAGAGAGGAGAGTAGGGAGAGAGAGGAGAGGTAGAGAGAAGAGAAGAGAAGAGAAGAGATAGCAGGAGAGAAGAGATAGACAAGAGAAGGAGAGAGAAGGAGAGAGAAGAGAGGAAGAGAGAGAGCAAGCGAGGAGTGAGAGTAATGGAGAGCGAGGGAGCGCGGAGAGAGAGGGGGAGAAGGAGAGCGAGTATTAGATGGAGGAGAAGGTGGAGAGAGTAGCTGAGGACGAGCAGAGGTATGCGTATGGTATGATAGCAAAGGTGAGTGATAGCTGATCTATCGGTCGGGCGCGATCTCGGGCGAGGGTCTGTTTCGCGTCGTCGTCCTACTGCTCTCGTGTCCGCTCTCCTGCTTCCTTCTGCTCGCTCCTCTGCCCGCTCTGCTCCTTCTCGCTTCTCTCCGCGCGCTGCTCCTCTGCCTCTCTACCCTCTCTGCTCTCTCTCCTTCTCTCCTCCTCTCGTCTTGTCTCCTCTCGTCCTGCTGTCCTGCCTCTCTGCGCTGCCTTCTCCTCTTCGCTCTCAGTCGCTACTACTCTCTGTTGTCTCTCCATCGTTCACTCTCTCTCCTGTCTCTCTTCGTTTTCTCGTGTCTCTCTGCTCATCGCCCTCCCGCTCTCTTCTCGCTGTCGATCTCCTCTACTCTCCGGCCGTCCTCCTCTCTCTCCTCGTCTCTCTTGTGTGCTCTCGTCTTCTCTCTCTCTTCTCTCTCCTCCCGGGGGGCTTCTGCCTCTCTCTCCGCCCCTATCTCTCTTCTTCCGTCTCCTCTCTCTTCTCTCTCCTCTCTGCTCTTTTTTCTCTCTCTTCTATCTGCTTCTCTCTCCCGCTCTCTTCGCCGCTCTTCTCTCCTCTCTCCTCGTCTCTTCTCTGCTTCCTCTCTTCTCTCTCTTCCTCTCTCTCTCGGCTCCTCCTCTCTTTCGGTCTCTACGTCTGCTCTCTCTCTCTTCTTTCCTGTGCTTTCTCTCTTAGCGCTCTCTGCTCTCTCGCTCCTCTCCCTCTTTTCTCTCTTCACTTGTCTCTCCTCCTCTTCCTCTCTCTTTGTTCTCTCTCTTATCTCTCTCTGTCTCTTCTCTCTTCTCACTCTCTTCCTCTTCGCTCTCGCGTCTCTCCTTCGCTTCTCTTTCTCTCCCCTCTCTGCCTCCTCTTCTCTCTTTCTTTCTTCTCTCTTTCTTCTATTCTTTCCTCTTCTTCTGTTTTCTCTCTTTGTTGTGGCGGCTTCGTTTTACTTTCTCCTGTGGGTTCTTCTCTCCTTCTCTCTTCTAGCTCTTCTCTTCTTGTTGTCTCTCTTTCTCGTTCTTATCTTGTCTTCTTGAGTCTCTCTTCTCTCTCTTCTGCTCTTCTCTCGTTCTGTCGCTCTTCGTGTTCTGATCCGTCTGGCTCTGCTATTCTCTGCTCTCTGCTTTCTCTTCTCTTCTTGGCTCTCTCTTGGCGTTTCGGGTCTTCTTGGCTTGCGCTCTTTCTCTTTCTTCTCTCTTCTCTTTAGCTTCTCGCTTTCTCTCTCTCTTCGTCGTACTTTTATCTCCTTCTCTCTTCTTCTTGCTTCTCTACCTTCTCCTTCTCTCGTCTCGCGTGTCTCTCTCGTCGTCGTTCTTTTTTCGATCTTCTCTCTTCTCTCTTCTCTTGTTCTTTTTCTCTGGCTCTTCTCTCTTTTTCTCTCTTCTCTAACTTTCTCGGCTTTCGTCTACTTCTCTCTGTTCTCGTTCTTTTTCTCTCTTTTTCTCCTTTTTCTTCTTCTTCCCTCTTCTCTCTTCTCTTGGCTTCTTCTTCGTTTTTTCTCTCTTTTTTTTCTGCCTGCTGTTTAGCTTGCCTTGTTCTCTCTCTTTTTCTCTTTCTGCTTCCGTGCTTCTTCCTTCTCTTCCTGCGTCTAACTCTCATGCGTTCTCTTCTCTTCTCGTCTTGTATTTTTCTCCCTCCTTCTCTCGTCTACTATTCTCTTGCATAGTGGACCATTTATCTGCTTTCTTGCTCTCTTTTTTTTCGGCTTTCTTCTCTTTCTCTTCACTTGCTTTCTTTTTGGTGCTCCCTTACTCTCTCTCTTCGCTCTCTCTCTGTGCTCGTCTTCGCTGCTGCTCTGGCTTCCTTGCGTCTTTCTTCCTCTGGCTATCCTGGCGTATCTCTCTCTTCTGTCGTTCGCTCTCTCTCTACTTCTCTTGCCTCGCTGGTCTCTTTCGTTTCTTCTCTCTCTTCTTTTGTCTCTTGGTGGGCCTTTTCTTTCTTCTCTGTCTCTCTCCTCTCTTCATCTTCTTCTTTCCTTTCTACGTCTCGCGTTCTACTAGCCTCTCTCTCTCTCTACTGCTCTCCCTCCGAATCTGTGTCTCTCACTTCTGCTTCTGCTCGTCTTCTCGTCTTTCTCTCTCTCTTGTGCCTCTCTTTCTACTCTCTTGCTGGGCCTGGACCTTGCTCTTGCTACTCTTCTCTTCTTCTGTCTCTCTCTCTCTGTCTCTCTTGTCTCTTCTTCTGCTCTCTCTCTACTCTGGGTCTTCTCTCTCTTTGCTCTGTCTTCTCTGTCTCTTCTTCTCTTTTCTCTTGGTCTCTTCTCTCTCTTGTTGCTGCTCCTTCCTCTCTTTCTGCTCTTCTCTCTTCTCCTCTCTCTGGTGTCTTCTTCCTTTGCTCTCCTCTTCTGTTCGTGGTCTTCTCCTCTTTCTTGTCTCTTCTCTCTCTTCTCCCCTCACACCCTCCCCTCTGCATCCCCCATCTCTTACGCCTAGGATTCACCTCTTAGTGTACCGGCCTCCAAAACACTCAGCCTCTCCCCCTTACATGACACTCACTCTCAACATCACAATCAGCTGCCCGGGCACTGTGGAGGATGAGGAAAAGAGAGAGGAAAGACCAGGTGAAAACATTCTGACTTCTGTCTGAGATTAATGAGGACCTTAAACTACAGCTTCATGACCAATGCTTGTGTTTTGCAAAGCTGGTCCGGAGGGTAATCTTCTAGGGCTCGGTCGCTTGCGGCTCCGCTGGCGCCGCTCCGGAGGTCATCGTCTCCAACTCCTCCTACTCGATCCGGGTCGCTCTCACTATTCGCCGCTCCGGATCGTTTCCTGGGGCGGCGCTCTCGATTCGAACTTTCGCTCATCCTCGGAGATGTGGGGGACGATGTTAACTCACTCACCCTGGTACAGTCTATCGCAATCAGTCTATCGAATGCGTGTCAGTCGTATGCTGCGGGCTCCGTTCTCGGTGCGCCTCTAAGGTGCGAACGGCCCAAGCCGGAGGGAGAGCGATCGAGACCTGTCTCCTTCTCGGCGCCTTACCGCGGCCTGCAAACTCCTCCGTCCAGCCGCCATTCGCTCACACACCTCTCCTCTCATGCCCGATTCTCAAGGTCCACTCCATGCCTCATACGTAGATCCCTCTTCACGTCTATCCATCAACTCGTCAGTCCTCTCCAGCTCCCGTCTCTCCTGCTCCCGGTGGTTGGGGAGGGTGGTGTCCTTCCTCTCTCCTCTGTCGTCCCTCTCTCTTCCCTCTCGCTCCCCCTCTCTTCGCGCTATCCTCATCTCCAGCTCACAACGGGTCCGCCGCCGCTTCTCGGACCGTCTCCATCATCCCCTCCCCCGCCTCTCTACTCTCTCCTGTCCGCCTTCTCATCTCACCGCTACCGTCAGATGGGGCACTGCATGCTCTCCTCCTGTGCTCCCTTTCCGGGGGGGACGTCAGCCTTGGACATCACGTTCCCCGTCAGCGATCGTATGTTCATCTCGAGTGGCATCGTCCTCTCCAGTTCCGCCTCCTTAACCTCCCAACTCTTTGCTCCTGCGTATACTGGTCGTATTCAATCTTTCCATCGCTTCTTTGGTCAAGAACCTTCCTTGCTCGCTTTCGGGCCCTCCCGACTTCACCCCCTCCCGTTCTCCACCTGCGACTCTATCTCGCGCCACTGACTCTCTCGGCCGCATCACCAGGTCCCGCTCTAATACCTCTTCTCAATCGGCTCACATCGTCCCCCTCCTCTCGGTCCCCTCCCTGCGGCCGCTCCCTTCAGTAGCAATATCATGGCGCGCACTCTCCTCCCGCTCGTGCGACGAGCTGGCTGCCCTTCAGTCGTTGTCGGGGAGTGCCGCACTCCACCCCTGCTCGTAATGTTGGTCTGAGGAGGATCCTATAACTCTCGTTTCCTCATCTTCGTCTTCTGACTCGGCGATTCATAAGAGTCTCGTCCCCACTCGGTCTCGGTGCTCTTACCTGTTGGTCCATTTCCCGCAATCTCATCGAGCTTCCGGCGCAGTTCATGGATATTTCTTCTCCATTATAAACAGTCTCAAGAACGTTAGGTCCCCCTCGGTCTCTCCTGCATCGAGTCGGTCAATACAGACTAGCCACCCTTCTCCCTTGCTGCCTCGCTCACATCGTATCTCTACGCCGTCTCAATCTCGGCACAGGGTCCCTCTTCCCGCATCACTCGGTTACTCTGTCGTCAGTGAAGTAGTCTCCCCATCACTTCACTTCGATCCGTCCTCCATCTACTCCGATCTCCGACACTTCGGTCGCGTCGCTTGCCACTTCTCCTCGGTGATCTCTCTTCCAGGGTCCTCCTGTTCCCTGTCTCCTCTCCCCTACTCTTCTCGCTCCCTCCCAGCGGTCGACCTGTTCTCGTCTCACTGCAGTGTCAAGTACCTCTCGGATCTACGGTAGCTCAATATCCCGTCGAGTCCTTTATCCCTATGCTCTTCTCCCTCCTATTCTTCTCCTCGGCGCGCGACAACCGATTCCAGCGATCCCTCGCCCTCCGGTACTGTTCTCTTCTCTAAGAATCAGTCACATCTCCCTCCCTCTCCTCATCCCTGCGCCTGTTCTCCGTCTAGATAAAGCCGCCCTAAGTATTTAGTACACGGTCCCTATTATCACTCTCCTTGAGCCACTGACAATCATCCCCTGCGTGACTTGTCGATCTTACATCGCCTGCGTCTAGCCGTTCCTCAATCCTCTCAGTTCTCTTCCGGCATAACCCTTGATCCCTAAATCCGTCGCCTTCCGATTCTCCCAACTATCCTCCTCTCTCGAACTCTTCCCGTTCGGCTACTCCCGCTACCTCCACTCCCTATATCAATTGATCTTTGTCTCTCTCATCTCTCCCTCACCTCTTCCTGCAACTGATCGGATCCTCTCTTCCACGTTCATGCCCTTTCATCCCAAACGTCGTTCTCACCCACTACGTGGGAACCGCCCGTACTCCGTCATCTCGCGCACTCTCGACCTCGACTTCTTGAAATCGATCTCTAACTCGTATCCACTCCCCGACGGTCAACTCCACCACGCGCGCGGGTCCTCCTCTAGGCCCTCGGATCAGTCCTCGTCCATCGCCGTTCGATGGCACTCTGATCTCCGGTCATCCGTTGCACACGAAGTCCCTCCCGGCTCACGGATGAAGGCCCTCGGGTCGTTCTCCTCGTAAGTCTCGTCCCTGCCCTCCTTCGAGGGTACTATCCAGCCGCCCGGAAGCTACCTATGCAAGCTGTTTCGTCAGCCTCTCAGAACCAAGGATCTCTATCTCCTTCTCATCCGCCGGCTACGATACATCTCTCCGTTCCCGCAGGCGGCCACCCCCCCACCCCCGCCCGGGGCCCGGTCAAACAGACGCCCGATGCCTCATACAGGTCTTCCTCATCTTCGCTCTTCTCTTACTCGCGTGTTTTCTCTCTCTCCGCTCGGTCCGTCCTCCAGCCTAGCCGTCGTCTGCCGGGACTCCCTCTCTACGTCATGCGCTTCTCGGTATCTATCCAACATCTCTTCTCATCTCTATATGTAGCTCTCACCCCGGCTGCAAACGTCTCCCTCTCCACGGCCCACAGAAACGCGCACCGAGTCTCCCCTTGGCGCGTTCTCATGCTCCTAACGGCGATCAGATCGACACTGGTGCCCCCCGCGCCTAGTACACTTGTCGGGATCTCCCCTCACCTCGCTCGAGCCAGCAAGTCCGGGTGCATGCCCTTACTCTGCACAGCGATCCGGTTCACGTCTCCGTTCCCGCTCCTACCTCCCTCCAAGGGCTTAGGGCGGAGTCAGAGGGAGAGGGTGGAGTCAGATGGAGAGGGCGGAGTCAGAGGGAGAGGGTGGAGTCAGATGGAGAGGGCGGAGTCAGAGGGAGAGGGTGGAGTCAGAGGGATTAATGTTGGTGCAACTCTGAACAATGGCCAAATTTGAGAGGAATCTGTACATTGGATTACTGTGTTGGCTCATCACCGTAAACTTCTGTCAAACAACCACCCTATACGCCAACCAGGAAGTGCGGGTGTATGACAGAGAGACTCTACTAAGTCTTCGTAACTTCCCAACTTCAACCAAGCTTCTGATCGACTTACCAGAAGAAATTAAGGCCAATCCGGAGCATCACTCACGTTATGAAAGAAATAACAGTGGAGGAAAGCAGCGGAGATCAAGGAGGCGGGGCCGACGCGGAGGGGTGAGACAGCGGCTTCGGAGAAGGGGGAGTAGACCCCCACTGCCCTCAGTGATTCTGTTCAACGCACGCTCACTTAAAAATAAGATAGATGAGCTCAGGGTGCTCACCGGGACATGCTTTGAGTATCGTGAGTCCTGTCTGATGGTTGTCACAGAGACCTGGCTTCATCCTGACATCCCCAGCTCACTTGTGGAGCTGAATGGCTTTACGCTCGTGCGCGCAGACCGGAGCTATGAGTCTGGCAAAGTGCGCGGTGGTGGAGTCTGTATCTACATCAGGGATGTATGGTGCCGTCACTATACTGTCAAAGATGCCATCTGTGACCCGGACGTTGAGTACCTTTGTGTCACACTCAGACCTTTTTATCTCCCGAGAGAATTCGGGAATATAATCATCTGTGCTGTGTACGTGCCACCCAGTGGTAACGCAGGAAGAGCTGCAGCACAAGTGGCTGAGTGTGTGCACAGACAGTTACAACATACACCTGATGCTCCAGTACTGATCTTAGGGGACTTCAATCACTGCAAACTGGATTTTTCCCTACCTGGTTTTGAACAATATGTGAAATTCTTCACTAGGAAGGACAAAATACTAGATAAATGCTATGGAAATACTAAAAATGCATATACAGCAAAGGCTAAGCCACCCTTGTCCAACTCTGACCATAATACAGTACATCTTATTCCTACATATCACACTGTCCTTAAAAGGAGCAAACCCACAATAAAAACTGTTAAGGTTTGGACAAATGAAAGTATTGACACATTAAAAGGCTGTTACTTAAGTACAGATTGGGATGTGTTCCATGAGCCTGACCTAGATAAAACCACAGAAGTTATAACGTCATACATACATTTTTGTGTTGATGCTGTTATACCCACAAAGACAATGAAATTCTATCCAAACAACAAATCCTACATCACAAAAGATGTTAAGGATTGCATTCTACGTAAGAAGGCTGCATTTAGGAACAATGACCATGTAGAAATGAGATCCATACAACGGGAGCTAAAACAGAAGATCAATAATAAAAAACAACAATATAAGGACACAATTGAAAATAATTTCAGGAACGGGGACACAAGGAAGATGTGGGCCACCATGAAAACCATCACGAACATGACTCCCAGCAAGAAGCCCCTGTGTGCAACAGACGAAAGAAAAATGGCAAATGATTTGAATACTTTTTATTTGAGGCATGAGTCGCATGATTTTTCTGCTGATTGTCGTAGAACATTAATCAACTCAAGAGTCCAGGGAGCCTCAAAAATTGACATCAGTGCTGAGGAGGTCACAAAAATCTTTAAGATGTTTAACACTAATAAAGCTACTGGCCCCGATGGTATCTCAGCCTTCCTCCTGAAGACATGTGCAGAGGAACTCTCACCAGCTTGGTCCCCTGTCTTCCAGAGGTCAGTGGACTCACACATCATACCATCCCAATGGAAAACTGCAACCATCATCCCTGTCCCTAAAATACCTGTCCCAAAAGAGGACAATGATTATAGGCCCATAGCCTTGACCTCCAATGTTATGAAGTGCCTGGAGAAGCTGATGGTAAGAGAGCTGAAGTCAGACATAGGAAGCAAGTTGGACCCGTACCAATTTGCTTATAAAAACAATCGAGGCACTGACGACGCAGTGATAACAGCAGTGCATAATGTTCTCCAACACCTGGAACACCCTAAAGCATATGCCAGGCTGCTGTTTATCGACTTCAGCTCAGCGTTTAACACTCTGCAACCACACATCCTTCTCAAAAAACTTCAACAAATGTCCGTCAACCCATACATAATCCGATGGTATCACTCATTCCTTTCCAACAGGAGCCACCAGGTTAGAGTGAACCATACACTGTCTGACATGAAGACCATCAACACAGGAGCGCCCCAGGGCTGTGTCAGCTCACCGCTCCTCTTCACACTGTACACAAACGACTGCACCAGCAGCCATTCCAGCACTCTAATCATCAAATTTTCAGATGACACTGTTTTATTAGGACTCATGGACAAGGACACAGACACTACCGAATACAATCTGCAGGTGGAGCATTTTGTACACTGGTGCGAGGACCACCATCTTATCATCAACGTAAAGAAGACAGAAGAAATCATCTTCGACCCCGGACATCTTGGAAATCACTCTCCGCTCTCCATCCATGGCTCAGCGGTAACACAGGTACACTCATATAAATACCTGGGAGTCCACATCGACTCAAGTCTGGTCTGGGATGTACACGGGAACTCTGTCTGCAGCAGGGTTCAACAAAGACTCTATTTCCTGCGGAGATTAAGACTTTTTGGAGTTGAACAGAAAATAATGACGCTATTTTATCATGCTGTAATTGAGAGTGTAATAAGACATGGTATGTGTGTGTGGTTTGGGAATTTGACTGTTAAAACAAAAGCAGAACTTTACAGATTAGTGCGCACAGCCTTTAAAGTCATGGGAGTTAGGGAGCATCCATCTTTGCAGCAGATATTTGAGGAGACTGTAATTAGACAGGCCAGGAAAATCACCTCAGACCCCTCCCAGTCCTCCACTCTCAGTATGAGCTCCTCCCATTAGGCCGCCGCTACAGAGTACCCACTAGAAATAAGAAACGATATCTAAACCGGTATAAGAACTCATTCCTACCCATATCTGTGAACCTCCTGAATGCAGGCCATCGAGCAGAGCGGTGATGGTTTATGTCGGTGTCACTGTGTTGTGTTTTATGTCTGTCTTATGTGTATTTTCAATGTAGCAGCCTGTGAGTCCAAGACAAATTTCCTACGGGACATAATAAATTAATCTTGAATCTTGAATCTTGAGAGGGCGGAGTCAGATGGAGAGGGCGGAGTCAGATGGAGAGGGCGGAGTCAGAGGGAGAGGGCGGAGTCAGAGGGAGAGGGTGGAGTCAGATGGAGAGGGCGGAGTCAGATGGAGAGGGCGGAGTCAGAGGGAGAGGGCGGAGTCAGAGGGAGAGGGTGGAGTCAGATGGAGAGGGCGGAGTCAGAGGGAGAGGGTGGAGTCAGATGGAGAGGGCGGAGTCAGAGGGAGAGGGTGGAGTCAGAGGGAGAGGGTGGAGTCAGAGGGAGAGGGTGGAGTCAGAGGGAGAGGGCGGAGTCAGAGGGAGAGGGCAGAGTCAAGGGAGAGGGCGGAGTCAGAGGGAGAGGGTGGAGTCAGAGGGAGAGGGAGGAGTCAGATGGAGAGGGCGGAGTCAGATGGAGAGGGCGGAGTCAGAGGGAGAGGGTGGAGTCAGAGGGAGAGGGCGGAGTCAGAGGGAGAGGGTGGAGTCAGAGGGAGAGGGCTGAGTCAGAGGGAGAGGGCGGAGTCAAAGGGAGAGGGCGGAGTCAGAGGGAGAGGGTGGAGTCAGAGGGAGAGTGCGGAGTCAGATGGAGAAGGCGGAGTCAGAGGGAGAGGGTGGAGTCAGAGGGAGAGGGCGGAGTCAGAGGGAGAGGGTGGAGTCAGAGGGAGAGGGCGGAGTCAGAGGGAGAGGGCGGAGTCAGATGGAGAGGGCGGAGTCAGATGGAGAGTGCGGAGTCAGATGGAGAGGGCGGAGTCAGAGGGAGAAGGCGGAGTCAGAGGGAGAGGGTGGAGTCAGAGGGAGAGGGCGGAGTCAGAGGGAGAGGGCGGAGTCAGAGGGAGAGGGCGGAGTCAGATGGAGAGGGTGGAGTCAGAGGGAGAGGGCGGAGTCAGAGGAAGAGGGCGGAGTCAGAGGGAGAGGGCGGAGTCAGAAGGAGAGGGCGGGAGTCAGATGGAGAAGGCGGAGTCAGATGGAGAAGGCGGAGTCAGAGGGAGAGGGGGGAGTCAGAGGGAGAGGGCGGAGTCAGAGGGAGAGGGCGGAGTCAGAGGGAGAGGGGGGAGTCAGAGGGAGAGGGGGGAGTCAGAGGGAGAGGGCGGAGTCAGAGGGAGAGGGCGGAGTCAGAGGGAGAGGGTGGAGTCAGAGGGAGTCTATCTCTGGTCTCTCTCTCTGGTCTCCCTCTGGTCTCTCTCTGGTGTCTCTCTGGTCTCTCTCTGGTCTCTCTCTGGTCTCTCTCTGGTCTCTCTCTGGTCTCTCTCTGGTCTCTCTCTGGTCTCTCTCTGGTGTCTCTCTGGTCTCTCTCTGGTCTCTCTTTGGTCTCTCTTTAGTCTCTCTCTGGTCTCTCTCTGGTCTCTCTTTGGTCTCTCTTTAGTCTCTCTCTGGTCTCTCTCTGGTCTCTCTCTGGTCTCTCTCTGGTCTCTCTCTCTGGTCTCTCTCTGGTCTCTCTCTGGTCTCTCTCTCTGGTCTCTCTCTGGTCTCTCTCTGGTCTCTCTCTCTGGTCTCTCTTTAGTCTCTCTCTGGTCTCTCTCTGGTCTCTCTTTGGTCTCTCTTTAGTCTCTTTCTGGTCTCTCTCTGGTCTCTCTCTGGTCTCTCTCTGGTCTCTCTTTGGTCTCTCTTTAGTCTCTCTCTGGTCTCTCTCTGGTCTCTCTCTGGTCTCTCTTTGGTCTCTCTTTAGTCTCTCTCTGGTCTCTCTCTGGTCTCTCTTTGGTGTCTCTCTGGTCTCTCTCTGGTCTCTCTTTGGTCTCTCTCTGGTCTCTCTCTGGTCTCTCTCTCTGGTCTCTCTCTGGTCTCTCTCTGGTCTCTCTTTGGTCTCTCTTTAGTCTCTCTCTGATGTCTCTCTGTTTGTTGCTGCTCTTCAGCCAGAGCAGTACCATAGAGCAGTACCATAGAGCAGTACCATAGAGCAGTACCATAGAGCAGTACCATAGAGCAGTACCATAGAGCAGTACCATAGAGCAGTACCATAGAGCAGTACCATAAGTTCTTACCGTATCCGATCATACAGGACTCGTCTCTGTCGAACTGAATGACTTTGGTGATTTTGGAGCAGATCTCGATTTCTTTGTAAAGCTGCGGAAAAGGAGAAGAAGAAGAACCATCAGAGCTACACACCACTATTATTATTATTATTATTATTATTAGCATTAGCATTATTATTATTATTATTATTAGCATTAGCATTTCATAGCTATGAATCATAAATGGTTTTGTGCTGGGAGGATGTTGGGGGGAGCACTTACGAGGTCGCACACGTCCTCCTCTGGTTTGGGGATGTAGAACTGCACCTGGTTTTCCATGAGGAACTTGAGACGCAGATAGTGTTTGGTCGGATCCAGGTCGTGCGCCTGAGTCAGAGAGAACACTTTAAATATGTAATTAAACACTGCAAAGGTTAAAGGTTATGACAAATATGTCTAAATATGTCATGTTTGTAAATGTATTTCTGCTTTGGGTTTCCTGAGACAAGCTGGAATGTGCTCAAATTTGGCAAAATGCAGTTTAATTTGAGCACATTGTGCCGTAAACCAAGGGTACGTATGTAACCACGGTAACCAAGGGTACGTATGTAACCACGGTAACCAAGGGTACGTATGTAACCACGTATGTAACCACGGTTCTATGAATCACAGCCATAGGCGCCGTCACTCAGTGCGCCGCCATTTTAGCTCCGTGTACGACATTCAGAGATACTCAGAAGAACATGGTTCACCGCAGGTCTTGGTCTGACTCTGGTCCAGGTCTTGGTCTGACTCTGGTCCAGGTCTTGGTCTGAGTCTGGTACAAGTCTTGGTCCAGGTCTTGGTCCAGGTCTTGGTCCTGGTCCAGGTCCAGGTCTGACCTTGCTGATGGTCTCGAGCAGGCACAGGGCAGAGTCCCCGGGCTGGATGGTGGTGAGCACTGGTTGGTCGTTGGGCAGACACACCCAGGACGGGGTCAGGTGGTCCGGCAGCCACACCTCACCGCTCTCTGCCCTGGGGCAGGTGAGGCTCTGCACGGCACTGTCCTCGCTTTTCTGCAAACACAGAGATCAGTGTTAGCATCATGTGGCTAAAGTGTTAGCATCATGTGACTAAAGTGTTAGCATCATGTGACTAAAGTGTTAGCATCATGTGACTAAAGTGTTAGCATCATGTGACTAAAGTGTTAGCATCATGTGACTAAAGTGTTAGCATCATGTGACTAAAGTGTTAGCATCATGTGACTAAAGTGTTAGCATCATGTGACTAAAGTGTTAGCATCATGTGACTAAAGTGTTAGCATCATGTGACTAAAGTGTTAGCATCATGTGGCTAAAGTGTTAGCATCATGTGACTAAAGTGTTAGCATCATGTGACTAAAGTGTTAGCATCATGTGGCTAAAGTGTTAGCATCATGTGACTAAAGTGTTAGCATCATGTGGCTAAAGTGTTAGCATCATGTGACTAAAGTGTAAGCATCATGTGACTAAAGGCCACGCCCACACTGGTCTTCTTCCTGTGACAGGTTTTCGTACCGAGTGTTCCTTGCTGTGGTCCAGATAAACGCTGTCTTCGGGGCTTCTCTCTGAGTCCTCTCCGTCAGCGAAGACCTGCAGACACAGATTATACTCAGACACTCACAGAAGTCTCTCTCCTCACTCTGTGATGTCACATGACACTCACAGAGGTCTCTCTCCTCACTCTGTGATGTCACATGTAGGCATGTAGGCTTTCTGTGCCGTTTTAAAGCATCAATCATCTCCAGACTCTTATGTCCCATCATCGATCGAAGGCTTTTATCGGAGGTTTTTGTTCCAAACGTTGCCTTCACAACAGCAGTGTAGGTCTGGTGTAGGTCTGGTGTAGGGCTAGTGTAGGGCTAGTGTAGGTCTAGTGTAGGTCTGGTGTAGGTCTGGTGTAGGGCTAGTGTAGGGCTAGTGTAGGTCTAGTGTAGGTCTGGTGTAGGTCTGGTGTAGGTCTGGTGTAGGGCTAGTGTAGGGCTAGTGTAGGTCTAGTGTAGGTCTGGTGTAGGGCTAGTGTAGGTCTGGTGTAGGTCTGGTGTAGGTCTGGTGTAGGTCTAGTGTAGGTCTGGTGTAGGGCTAGTGTAGGTCTGGTGTAGGTCTAGTGTAGGTCTGGTGTAGGGCTAGTGTAGGTCTGGTGTAGGGCTAGTGTAGGTCTGGTGTAGGTCTAGTGTAGGTCTGGTGTAGGGCTAGTGTAGGTCTGGTGTAGGTCTAGTGTAGGTCTGGTGTAGGTCTGGTGTAGGTCTGGTGTAGGTCTAGTGTAGGACTAGTGTAGGTCTGGTGTAGGTCTGGTGTAGGTCTGGTGTAGGTCTGGTGTAGGTCTGGTGTAGGTCTGGTGTAGGTCTAGTGTAGGACTAGTGTAGGTCTGGTGTAGGTCTGGTGTAGGTCTGGTGTAGGTCTAGTGTAGGTCTGGTGTAGGTCTGGTGTAGGTCTAGTGTAGGTCTGGTGTAGGTCTGGTGTAGGTCTGGTGTAGGTCTAGTGTAGGTCTGGTGTAGGTCTGGTGTAGGTCTAGTGTAGGTCTAGTGTAGGTCTGGTGTAGGTCTAGTGTAGGTCTGGTGTAGGTCTAGTGTAGGTCTAGTGTAGGTCTGGTGTAGGTCTGGTGTAGGTCTGGTGTAGGTCTAGTGTAGGTCTAGTGTAGGTCTGGTGTAGGTCTAGTGTAGGTCTGGTGTAGGTCTAGTGTAGGTCTAGTGTAGGTCTGGTGTAGGTCTGGTGTAGGTCTAGTGTAGGTCTAGTGTAGGTCTGGTGTAGGTCTGGTGTAGGTCTAGTGTAGGTCTAGTGTAGGTCTAGTGTAGGTCTGGTGTAGGGCTAGTGTAGGTCTGGTGTAGGTCTAGTGTAGGTCTGGTGTAGGTCTAGTGTAGGTCTGGTGTAGGTCTGGTGTAGGTCTAGTGTAGGTCTAGTGTAGGTCTAGTGTAGGTCTAGTGTAGGTCTGGTGTAGGGCTAGTGTAGGTCTGGTGTAGGTCTGGTGTAGGTCTAGTGTAGGTCTAGTGTAGGTCTAGTGTAGGTCTAGTGTAGGTCTGGTGTAGGGCTAGTGTAGGTCTGGTGTAGGTCTGGTGTAGGTCTGGTGTAGGTCTAGTGTAGGTCTGGTGTAGGTCTGGTGTAGGTCTAGTGTAGGTCTGGTGTAGGTCTGGTGTAGGTCTGGTGTAGGTCTAGTGTAGGTCTGGTGTAGGTCTGGTGTAGGTCTGGTGTAGGTCTAGTGTAGGTCTAGTGTAGGTCTGGTGTAGGTCTAGTGTAGGTCTGGTGTAGGTCTAGTGTAGGTCTAGTGTAGGTCTGGTGTAGGTCTGGTGTAGGTCTGGTGTAGGTCTAGTGTAGGTCTAGTGTAGGTCTGGTGTAGGTCTAGTGTAGGTCTGGTGTAGGTCTAGTGTAGGTCTAGTGTAGGTCTGGTGTAGGTCTGGTGTAGGTCTAGTGTAGGTCTAGTGTAGGTCTGGTGTAGGTCTGGTGTAGGTCTAGTGTAGGTCTAGTGTAGGTCTAGTGTAGGTCTGGTGTAGGGCTAGTGTAGGTCTGGTGTAGGTCTAGTGTAGGTCTGGTGTAGGTCTAGTGTAGGTCTGGTGTAGGTCTGTGTGTAGGTTAGGTCTAGTGTAGGTCTAGTGTAGGTCTAGTGTAGGTCTAGTGTAGGTCTGGTGTAGGCTAGTGTAGGTCTGGTGTAGGTCTGGTGTAGGTCTAGTGTAGGTCTAGTGTAGGTCTGTAGGTCGTGTAGGTCTGGTGTAGGTCTGGTGTAGGTCTGGTGTAGGTCTGGTGTAGGGCTAGTGTAGGTCTGGTGTAGGTCTGGTGTAGGTCTGGTGTAGGTCTGGTGTAGGTCTAGTGTAGGTCTGGTGTAGGTCTGGTGTAGGTCTGGTGTAGGTCTAGTGTAGGTCTAGTGTAGGTCTGGTGTAGGTCTGGTGTAGGTCTGTGTAGGTCTAGTGTAGGTCTAGTGTAGGTCTAGTGTAGGTCTGTGTAGGTCTAGTGTAGGTCTGGTGTAGGTCTAGTGTAGGTGTGTCTAGTGTAGGTCTGGTGTAGGTCTAGTGTAGGTCTGTGTAGGTCTGTGTAGGTCTGTGTAGGTCTAGTGTAGGTCTGGTGTAGGTCTAGTGTAGGTCTGTGTGTAGGTCTGGTGTAGGTCTGGTGTAGGTCTGGTGTAGGTCTGGTGTAGGTCTGTGTAGGTCTAGTGTAGGTCTGGTGTAGGTCTGTGTAGGTCTGTGTAGGTGTAGGTCTGTGTAGGTCTGGTGTAGGTCTAGTGTAGGTCTAGTGTAGGTCTGGTGTAGGTCTGGTGTAGGGCTAGTGTAGGTCTGGTGTAGGTCTGGTGTAGGTCTGGTGTAGGTCTAGTGTAGGTCTAGTGTAGGTCTGGTGTAGGTCTGGTGTAGGGCTAGTGTAGGTCTGGTGTAGGTCTGGTGTAGGTCTGGTATAGGTCTGGTGTAGGTCTGGTGTAGGTCTAGTGTAGGTCTAGTGTAGGTCTGGTGTAGGTCTAGTGTAGGTCTGGTGTAGGTCTGGTGTAGGTCTAGTGTAGGTCTGGTGTAGGTCTAGTGTAGGTCTGGTGTAGGTCTGGTGTAGGTCTGGTGTAGGTCTAGTGTAGGTCTGGTGTAGGTCTAGTGTAGGTCTGGTGTAGGTCTAGTGTAGGTCTGGTGTAGGTCTAGTGTAGGGTTGGTTGTGTAGGTTGTGTAGGTCTGTGTAGGTCTGGTGTAGGTCTGGTGTAGGTCTGGTGTAGGTCTGGTGTAGGTCTGGTGTAGGTCTGGTGTAGGTCTGTGTAGGTCTGTGTAGGTCTGGTGTAGGTCTGGTGTAGGTCTGGTGTAGGTCTGGTGTAGGTCTGGTGTAGGTCTGTGTAGGTCTGGTGTAGGTCTAGGTGTGTAGTGTCTGGTGTAGGTCTGGTGTAGGTCTAGTGTAGGTCTAGTGTAGGTCTGGTGTAGGTCTGGTGTAGGGCTAGTGTAGGTCTGGTGTAGGTCTGGTGTAGGTCTGGTGTAGGTCTGGTGTAGGTCTAGTGTAGGTCTAGTGTAGGTCTAGTGTAGGTCTGGTGTAGGTCTGGTGTAGGTCTGGTGTAGGTCTGGTGTAGGTCTGGTGTAGGTCTGGTGTAGGTCTGGTGTAGGTCTTGTGTAGGTCTGGTGTAGGTCTAGTGTAGGTCTGGTGTAGGGCTAGTGTAGGTCTGGTGTAGGTCTGGTGTAGGTCTGGTGTAGGTCTGGTATAGGTCTTGTGTAGGTCTAGTGTAGGTCTGGTGTAGGGCTAGTGTAGGTCTGGTGTAGGTCTAGTGTAGGTCTGGTGTAGGTCTGGTGTAGGTCTAGTGTAGGGCTAGTGTAGGTCTGGTGTAGGGCTAGTGTAGGTCTGGTGTAGGTCTAGTGTAGGTCTGGTGTAGGTCTAGTGTAGGTCTGGTGTAGGTCTGGTGTAGGTCTGGTGTAGATCTGGTGTAGGTCTGGTGTAGGGCTAGTGTAGGTCTGGTGTAGGGCTAGTGTAGGTCTAGTGTAGGTCTGGTGTAGGTCTGGTGTAGGTCTGGTGTAGGTCTGGTGTAGGGCTAGTGTAGGTCTGGTGTAGGTCTGGTGTAGGTCTGGTGTAGGGCTAGTGTAGGTCTGGTGTAGGTCTGGTGTAGGGCTAGTGTAGGTCTGGTGTAGGGCTAGTGTAGGTCTGGTGTAGGGCTAGTGTAGGTCTGGTGTAGGTCTGGTGTAGGGCTAGTGTAGGTCTAGTGTAGGTCTGGTGTAGGTCTGGTGTAGGTCTGGTGTAGGTCTGGTGTAGGTCTGGTGTAGGGCTAGTGTAGGTCTAGTGTAGGTCTAGTGTAGGTCTAGTGTAGGTCTGGTGTAGGTCTGGTGTAGGTCTAGTGTAGGTCTAGTGTAGGTCTGGTGTAGGGCTAGTGTAGGTCTGGTGTAGGTCTGGTGTAGGTCTGGTGTAGGGCTAGTGTAGGTCTGGTGTAGGTCTGGTGTAGGTCTAGTGTAGGTCTGGTGTAGGTCTGGTGTAGGTCTGGTGTAGGTCTAGTGTAGGTCTAGTGTAGGTCTGGTGTAGGTCTGGTGTAGGTCTGGTGTAGGACTGGTGTAGGTCTGGTGTAGGTCTGGTGTAGGTCTGGTGTAGGTCTGGTGTAGGACTGGTGTAGGTCTGGTGTAGGTCTGGTAGTGGTGTAGGTCTAGTGTAGGTCTGTGTATCTGTGTGGTCTGGTGTAGGTCTAGTGTAGGTCTGTGTAGGCTAGTAGGTCTGGTGTAGGTCTGGTGTAGGGCTAGTGTAGGTCTGTGTGTCTGGTAGGTCTGGTGTAGGTCTAGTGTAGGTCTGGTGTAGGTCTGGTGTAGGGCTAGTGTAGGTCTGGTGTAGGTCTAGTGTAGGTCTGGTGTAGGTCTGTTGTAGGTCTGGTGTAGGGCTAGTGTAGGTCTAGTGTAGGTCTAGTGTAGGTCTGGTGTAGGGCTAGTGTAGGTCTGGTGTAGGTCTGGTGTAGGTCTGGTGTAGGGCTAGTGTAGGTCTGGTGTAGGGCTAGTGTAGGTCTGGTGTAGAGCTAGTGTAGGTCTGGTGTAGGTCTGGTGTAGGGCTAGTGTAGGTCCAGGGGTAGGTCTGGTGTAGGTCTAGTGTAGATCTGGTGTAGGTCTGGTGTAGGTCTGGTGTAGGTCTAGTGTAGGTCTGGTGTAGGTCTGGTGTAGGTCTAGTGTAGGTCTGGTGTAGGTCTGGTGTAGGTCTGGTGTAGGTCTAGTGTAGGTCTGGTGTAGGGCTAGTGTAGGTCTGGTGTAGGTCTAGTGTAGGTCTGGTGTAGGTCTAGTGTAGGTCTGGTGTAGGTCTAGTGTAGTGTAGGTCTGGTGTAGGTCTGGTGTAGGTCTGGTGTAGGTCTGGTGTAGGTCTGGTGTAGGTCTGGTGTAGGTCTGGTGTAGGTCTGGTGTAGGTCTAGTGTAGGTCTGTGTAGGTCTAGTGTAGGTCTGGTGTAGGTCTGGTGTAGGTCTGTGTAGTGTAGGTCTAGTGTAGGTCTGGTGTAGGTCTAGTGTAGGTCTGGTGTAGGTCTAGTGTAGGTCTAGTGTAGGTCTGGTGTAGGTCTGGTGTAGGTCTAGTGTAGGTCTGGTGTAGGTCTAGTGTAGGTCTGGTGTAGGTCTGGTGTAGGGCTAGTGTAGGTCTGGTGTAGGGCTAGTGTAGGTCTAGTGTAGGTCTGGTGTAGGGCTAGTGTAGGTCTGGTGTAGGGCTAGTGTAGGTCTGGTGTAGGGCTAGTGTAGGTCTGGTGTAGGGCTAGTGTAGGTCTGGTGTAGGGCTAGTGTAGGTCTGGTGTAGGGCTAGTGTAGGTCTAGTGTAGGTCTAGTGTAGGTCTGGTGTAGGGCTAGTGTAGGTCTGGTGTAGGGCTAGTGTAGGTCTGGTGTAGGGCTAGTGTAGGTCTGGTGTAGGGCTAGTGTAGGTCTGGTGTAGGGCTAGTGTAGGTCTGGTGTAGGGCTAGTGTAGGTCTGGTGTAGGGCTAGTGTAGGTCTGGTGTAGGTCTGGTGTAGGTCTAGTGTAGGTCTGGTGTAGGTCTAGTGTAGGTCTGGTGTAGGTCTGGTGTAGGTCTAGTGTAGGTCTAGTGTAGGTCTGGTGTAGGTCTAGTGTAGGTCTGGTGTAGGGCTAGTGTAGGTCTGGTGTAGGTCTGGTGTAGGTCTGGTGTAGGTCTGGTGTAGGGCTAGTGTAGGTCTGGTGTAGGGCTAGTGTAGGTCTGGTGTAGGTCTAGTGTAGATCTGGTGTAGGTCTGGTGTAGGTCTGGTGTAGGTCTGTGTAGGTCTGGTGTAGGTCTGTGTAGGTCTGGTGTAGGGTGTAGGCTGTAGGTCTGGTGTAGGTCTGGTGTAGGTCTGGTGTAGGTCTGGTGTAGGTCTGGTGTAGGTCTGGTGTAGGTCTGTGTAGGTCTAGTGTAGGTCTGGTGTAGGTCTAGTGTAGGTCTAGTGTAGGTCTGGTGTAGGTCTGGTGTAGGTCTGGTGTAGGGCTGGTGTAGGTCTGGTGTAGGGTCTAGTGTAGGTCTGGTGTAGGGCTAGTGTAGGTCTGGTGTAGGTCTGGTGTAGGGCTAGTGTAGGTCCAGGGGTAGGTCTGGTGTAGGTTGGTGTAGGTCTGGTGTAGGTCTGGTGTAGGTCTGGTGTAGGCTGTGTAGGTCTGGTGTAGGTCTGGTGTAGGTCTGTGTAGGCTAGTGTAGGTTAGGTCTGGTGTAGGTCTGGTGTAGGGCTAGTGTAGGTCTGGTGTAGGGCTAGTGTAGGTCTGGTGTAGGGCTAGTGTAGGTCTGGTGTAGGTCTGGTGTAGGGCTAGTGTAGGTCTGGTGTAGGTCTGGTGTAGGGCTAGTGTAGGTCTAGTGTAGGTCTAGTGTAGATCTGGTGTAGGGCTAGTGTAGGTCTGGTGTAGGGCTAGTGTAGGTCTGGTGTAGGTCTGGTGTAGGTCTAGTGTAGGTCTAGTGTAGGTCTGGTGTAGGTCTAGTGTAGGTCTGGTGTAGGTCTAGTGTAGGTCTAGTGTAGGTCTGGTGTAGGTCTGGTGTAGGTCTAGTGTAGGTCTGGTGTAGGGCTAGTGTAGGTCTGGTGTAGGTCTGGTGTAGGGCTAGTGTAGGTCTGGTGTAGGGCTAGTGTAGGTCTAGTGTAGGTCTAGTGTAGGTCTGGTGTAGGGCTAGTGTAGGTCTGGTGTAGGGCTAGTGTAGGTCTGGTGTAGGGCTAGTGTAGGTCTGGTGTAGGGCTAGTGTAGGTCTGGTGTAGGGCTAGTGTAGGTCTGGTGTAGGGCTAGTGTAGGTCTAGTGTAGGTCTAGTGTAGGTCTGGTGTAGGGCTAGTGTAGGTCTGGTGTAGGGCTAGTGTAGGTCTGGTGTAGGGCTAGTGTAGGTCTGGTGTAGGGCTAGTGTAGGTCTGGTGTAGGTCTGGTGTAGGTCTGGTGTAGGTCTGGTGTAGGGCTAGTGTAGGTCTGGTGTAGGGCTAGTGTAGGTCTGGTGTAGGTCTAGTGTAGATCTGGTGTAGGTCTGGTGTAGGTCTGGTGTAGGTCTGATGTAGGTCTGGTGTAGGTCTAGTGTAGGTCTGGTGTAGGGCTAGTGTAGGTCTGGTGTAGATCTGGTGTAGGTCTGGTGTAGGTCTAGTGTAGGTCTGGTGTAGGTCTGGTGTAGGCTGGTATAGGTCTAGTGTAGGTCTAGTGTAGGTCTGGTGTAGGTCTGGTGTAGGTCTGGTGTAGGGCTAGTGTAGGTCTGGTGTAGGGCTAGTGTAGGTCTGGTGTAGGGCTAGTGTAGGTCTGTGTGTAGGTCTGGTGTAGGGCTAGTGTAGGTCCAGGGGTAGGTCTGGTGTAGGTATGGTGTAGGTCTGGTGTAGGTCTGGTGTAGGTCTGGTGTAGGGCTAGTGTAGGTCTGGTGTAGGTCTGGTGTAGGGCTAGTGTAGGTCTGGTGTAGGTCTGGTGTAGGTCTGGTGTAGGGCTAGTGTAGGTCTGGTGTAGGGCTAGTGTAGGTCTGGTGTAGGGCTAGTGTAGGTTGGTAGGTGTGTAGGTCTGGTGTAGGTCTGGTGTAGGGCTAGTGTAGGTCTGGTGTAGGTCTGGTGTAGGGCTAGTGTAGGTCTAGTGTAGGTCTAGTGTAGATCTGGTGTAGGGCTAGTGTAGGTCTGGTGTAGGGCTAGTGTAGGTCTGGTGTAGGTCTAGTGTAGGTCTAGTGTAGGTCTGGTGTAGGGCTAGTGTAGGTCTAGTGTAGGTCTGGTGTAGGTCTGGTGTAGGTCTGGTGTAGGGCTAGTGTAGGTCTGGTGTAGGTCTGGTGTAGGTCTGGTGTAGGACTGGTGTAGGTCTGGTGTAGGTCTGGTGTAGGTCTGGTGTAGGTCTAGTGTAGGTCTGGTGTAGGACTGGTGTAGGTCTGGTGTAGGTCTGGTGTAGGGCTAGTGTAGGTCTGGTGTAGGTCTGGTGTAGGTCTAGTGTAGGTCTGGTGTAGGGCTAGTGTAGGTCTGGTGTAGGTCTGGTGTAGGTCTGGTGTAGGTCTAGTGTAGGTCTAGTGTAGGTCTGGTGTAGGGCTAGTGTAGGTCTAGTGTAGGTCTGGTGTAGGGCTAGTGTAGGTCTAGTGTAGGTCTAGTGTAGGTCTGGTGTAGGTCTGGTGTAGGTCTGGTGTAGGGCTAGTGTAGGTCTAGTGTAGGTCTAGTGTAGGTCTAGTGTAGGTCTGGTGTAGGTCTGGTGTAGGTCTGGTGTAGGTCTAGTGTAGGTCTAGTGTAGGTCTGGTGTAGGGCTAGTGTAGGTCTGGTGTAGGTCTGGTGTAGGTCTGGTGTAGGGTAGTGTAGGCTGTGTAGGTCTGTGTAGGTCTGGTGTAGGTCTGGTGTAGGTCTGGTGTAGGTCTGGTGTAGGTCTAGTGTAGGTCTGGTGTAGGTCTGGTGTAGGTCTGGTGTAGGACTGGTGTAGGTCTGGTGTAGGTCTGGTGTAGGTCTGGTGTAGGTCTGGTGTAGGACTGGTGTAGGTCTGGTGTAGGTCTGGTGTAGGGCTAGTGTAGGTCTAGTGTAGGTCTGGTGTAGGTCTAGTGTAGGTCTGGTGTAGGTCTAGTGTAGGTCTGGTGTAGGTCTGGTGTAGGGCTAGTGTAGGTCTGGTGTAGGTCTGGTGTAGGTCTAGTGTAGGTCTGGTGTAGGTCTGGTGTAGGGCTAGTGTAGGTCTGGTGTAGGTCTAGTGTAGGTCTGGTGTAGGTCTGTTGTAGGTCTGGGTGTAGGGCTAGTGTAGGTCTAGTGTAGGTCTTGTGTAGGTCTGGTGTAGGGCTAGTGTAGGTCTGGTGTAGGTCTGGTGTAGGGCTAGTGTAGGTCTGGTGTAGGGCTAGTGTAGGTCTGGTGTAGGGCTAGTGTAGGTCTGGTGTAGGTCTGGTGTAGGGCTAGTGTAGGTCCAGGGGTAGGTCTGGTGTAGGTCTAGTGTAGATCTGGTGTAGGTCTGGTGTAGGTCTGGTGTAGGTCTAGTGTAGGTCTGGTGTAGGTCTGGTGTAGGTCTGGTGTAGGTCTGGTGTAGGTCTAGTGTAGGTCTGGTGTAGGTCTAGTGTAGGTCTGGTGTAGGCTAGTGTAGGTCTGGTGTAGGTCTGTGTAGGTCTGGTGTAGGTCTGGTGTAGGTCTGTGTAGGTCTGGTGTAGGTCTAGTGTAGGTCTGGTGTAGGTCTAGTGTAGGTCTGGTGTAGGTCTAGTGTAGGTTGGTGTAGGTCTGGTGTAGGTCTGGTGTAGGTCTGGTGTAGGTCTAGTGTAGGTCTGGTGTAGGTCGTGTAGGTCTGTGTAGGTCTAGTGTAGGTCAGTGTGGTCGGTGTAGGTCTAGTGTAGGTCTGGTGTAGGTCTAGTGTAGGTCTGGTGTAGGTCTGGTGTAGGTCTAGTGTAGGTCTAGTGTAGGTCTGGTGTAGGTCTAGTGTAGGTCTGGTGTAGGTCTAGTGTAGGTCTAGTGTAGGTCTGGTGTAGGTCTGGTGTAGGTCTAGTGTAGGTCTGGTGTAGGGCTAGTGTAGGTCTGGTGTAGGTCTGGTGTAGGGCTAGTGTAGGTCTAGTGTAGGTCTAGTGTAGGTCTGGTGTAGGTCTGGTGTAGGTCTGGTGTAGGGCTAGTGTAGGTCTAGTGTAGGTCTAGTGTAGGTCTGGTGTAGGTCTGGTGTAGGTCTGGTGTAGGTCTAGTGTAGGTCCTAGTGTAGGTCTGGTGTAGGGCTAGTGTAGGTCTGGTGTAGGTCTGGTGTAGGTCTGGTGTAGGGCTAGTGTAGGTCTAGTGTAGGTCTGGTGTAGGTCTGGTGTAGGTCTGGTGTAGGTCTGGTGTAGGTCTGTGTAGGTCTGGTGTAGGTCTGTGTAGGTCTGTGTAGGTCTGGTGTAGGACTGGTGTAGGTCTGGTGTAGGTCTGGTGTAGGTCTGGTGTAGGTCTAGGGTGTAGGACTGGTGTAGGTCTGGTGTAGGTCTGGTGTAGGGCTAGTGTAGGTCTAGTGTAGGTCTGGTGTAGGTCTAGTGTAGGTCTGGTGTAGGGCTAGTGTAGGTCTAGTGTAGGTCTGGTGTAGGTCTAGTGTAGGTCTTGTGTAGGTCTGGTGTAGGTCTGGTGTAGGTCTAGTGTAGGTCTGGTGTAGGGCTAGTGTAGGTCTGGTGTAGGTCTGGTGTAGGGCTAGTGTAGGTCTGGTGTAGGTCTAGTGTAGGTCTAGTGTAGGTCTGGTGTAGGGCTAGTGTAGGTCTGGTGTAGGGCTAGTGTAGGTCTGGTGTAGGGCTAGTGTAGGTCTGGTGTAGGGCTAGTGTAGGTTGGTGTAGGGCTAGTGTAGGGCTGGTGTAGGTCTGGTGTAGGGCTGGTAGGCTAGTGTCTGGTGTAGGGCTAGTGTAGGTCTGGTGTAGGGCTAGTGTAGGTCTGGTGTAGGGCTAGTGTAGGTCTAGTGTAGGTCTAGTGTAGGTCTGGTGTAGGGCTAGTGTAGGTCTGGTGTAGGGCTAGTGTAGGTCTGGTGTAGGGCTAGTGTAGGTCTGGTGTAGGGCTAGTGTAGGTCTGGTGTAGGGCTAGTGTAGGTCTGGTGTAGGGCTAGTGTAGGTCTGGTGTAGGGCTAGTGTAGGTCTGGTGTAGGGCTAGTGTAGGTCTGGTGTAGGGCTAGTGTAGGTCTGGTGTAGGGCTAGTGTAGGTCTGGTGTAGGGCTAGTGTAGGTCTGGTGTAGGGCTAGTGTAGGTACAGGGGTAGGTCGTCTCGCGGCCTGCTGTAGTTTGCTGAGTTCCACACGAGGATCTGGGGTTTCTCAACAGATGTATTTCAGGAGGCGGGGCTTTGTAAAATAATCTTTTAATGTGATTGGATAAAGCACTTGTCCGTTATTTTGAATGAAGCACAGACTCCTGCTGCGTCGTGTGATTGACAGGAGTCAATATGAATGCTGTCATAGTAGTATGATTGACAGGAACAGTTACAGTGCCTTGCGAAAGTATTCGGCCCCCTTGAACCTTTCAACATTTCGCCACATTTCAGGCTTCAAACATAAAGATATAAAATTTTAATTTTTTGTCATGAATCAACAACAAGTGGGACACAACCGTGAAGTGGAACGAAATTTATTGGATAATTTAAACTTTTTTTACAAATAAAAAACTGAAAAGTGGGGCGTGCAATATTATTGGGCCCCTTTACTTTCAGTGCAGCAAACTCAGTCCAGAAGTTCAGTGAGGATCTTTGAATGATCCAATGTTGTCCTAAATGACTGATGATGATAAATAGAATGTACCTGTGTGTAATCAAGTCTCCGTATAAATGCACCTGCTCTTTGATAGTCTCAGGGTTCTGTTTAAAGCACAGAGAGAACCATGAAGACAAAGGAACACACCAGGCAGGTCCGAGATACTGTTGTGGAGAAGTTTAAAGCTGGATTTGGATACAAAAAGATTTCCCAAGCTTTAAACATCTCAAGGAGCACTGTGCAAGCAATTATATTGAAATGGAAGGAGTATCAGACCACTGCAAATCTACCAAGACCCGGCCGTCCCTCCAAACTTTCATCTCAAACAAGGAGAAGACTGATCAGAGATGCAGCCAAGAGGCCCATGATCATTCTGGATGAACTGCAGATAACTACAGCTGAGGTGGGGATGGTGTGTTCAGGGTGATGAGCTGTGTTGCTTTTACGCCAAACGTATCGTTTTGCATTGTGGCCAAAAAGTTTGATTTTGGTTTCATCTGACCAGAGCACCTTCCTCCACATGTTTGGTGTGTCTCCCAGGTGGCTTGTGGCAAACTTTAAGAGACTTTTTATGGATATCTTTGAGAAATGGCTTTCTTCTTGCCACTCTTCCATAAAGGCCAGATTTGTGCAGTGCACGACTGATTGTTGTCCTATGGACAGACTCTCCCACCTCAGCTGTAGTTATCTGCAGTTCATCCAGAGTGATCATGGGCCTCTTGGCTGCATCTCTGATCAGTCTTCTCCTTGTTTGAGATGAAAGTTTGGAGGGACGGCCGGGTCTTGGTAGATTTGCAGTGGTCTGATACTCCTTCCATTTCAATATAACTGCTTGCACAGTGCTCCTTGAGATGTTTAAAGCTTGGGAAATCTTTTTGTATCCAAATCCGGCTTTAAACTTCTCCACAACAGTATCTCGGACCTGCCTGGTGTGTTCCTTTGTCTTCATGGTTCTCTCTGTGCTTTAAACAGAACCCTGAGACTATCAAAGAGCAGGTGCATTTATACGGAGACTTGATTACACACAGGTGCATTCTATTTATCATCATCAGTCATTTAGGACAACATTGGATCATTCAAAGATCCTCACTGAACTTCTGGACTGAGTTTGCTGCACTGAAAGTAAAACTTTTCAGTTTTTTATTTGTTAAAAAAGTTTAAATTATCCAATAAATTTTGTTCCACTTCACGATTGTGTCCCACTTGTTGTTGATTCATGACAAAAAATTTAAATTTTATATCTTTATGTTTGAAGCCTGAAATGTGGCAAAATGTTGAAAGGTTGAAGGGGGCCGAATACTTTCGCAAGGCACTGTACTTAAACCAAACTTTAAACCAAATGTTGACTCTTAAAACCCACATATCACAACATGGAACCATCAACATGGAACCATAGACATGGAACCATCAACATCTCATATCAAACTGCATTAAAAGTGACTAAATTTGTGTAAAACGTGGTAAACAAGTGGCAGACTTCCTGTCAGCCATCTTGGTTTGCTCCAGCTGCAGTGAGACATTTGCGTTTCATCATAAACAGCGGGTTTCCAGAGGGCGGAGCAAACCAACGTCACAGCGTCCTGATCAGTGTTGGGCACGTTACTTTGAAAAAGTAATTAGTTATAGTTACTAGTTACTTCTCCCAAAAAGTAACTGAGTTACTAACGGAGTTACTCCACTATAAAAGTAACTAGTTACCAGTAAAAGTAACTATTGCGTTACTTTTTCGTTTTGTTCTGGAACATAATGTGCACCCGACGTGCGCATTTTTACCTTTAACAGTGCCAATATTTCCATCTAGAAAAGGCTGTTTTGCTGCTGAAGTCCTGTTCACTCTTCATCTCTCTCTGTGCTGTAAAGCCCGCCACTGTGAATGTGGAAACACCGGTGACGAGCGGTGAGGCTGGTGAAGCACTGACTTCAGTCCAATCAGATGAACATATACATCATATAAATCAAGTGGACAATTTGTTTGGCTACAGCAAAATATGTTTTATGCCCGCATTGTTTGTTCATACAAAACGCAAAACTATGAGTTATGGGTCTTACCTTATAAATGACCTGCACAGTCCACTTCGGTTCAGACCAGTTCCTTGTTTAAATCCAGTGAATGGTTTGAGCGTAGATATGTAATCCTCCATTTGGAAATGAGTCCAATGAGTTTTAAAAAGTAAAACAAAACGCGTGTGTCCTCCGTAAACTCCTCTGTTTTGCTGCAGCCGGCTGCATCCAATTTCTAAAATCAACCGTCTTACACTTCACCTCTCTTTCTTATCATTCCTATAGTAATTGAAAAATTACCCTATGTGCATTTTAGATTATGTAAAAATGTGTTATATGTATGTTAGCCAAACCTGTTGCTGTCCTTAGCAGATAAACCAGGAAGAGCAAGGAGCTTATCGATGGAATTGTATGCAGCCGACTTCTGCGCTCACATGCGCTCCTCTGTGGCTGACCTCACGGTGATACAAGCCGTGGTTGAGCGCGATTAAGACCCATATTTGTTTCAAAAACACAATTTATGACCATCCTCTCAACTGTAGACATGTAGATTGTAAAGGAAATATGATTTACATCAGCCAATAATTGCTGAGAGGTTTTCTCATCCTCCCTTCTCTCATGACAACACGTTCATTGTGCGTCTTGAGTAACGCGCAGTAACGGGATGTCGGAAATGATAACGGCGTTATAGTTACTGTCAAAGTAATTAGTTAGATTACTCGTTACTGAAAAAAGTAACGGCGTTAGTAACGCCGTTACTAGTAACGCCGTTATTCCCATCACTGGTCCTGATTGGTTCATTATATGTTGCTTTCTTGAAGTTTGTCCTCCTGGACCCTTGTGGGAGCTCAGTGGTACGCCTCTGGTGGAGCTCAGTGGTACTGCAGGGCCTGGTCAGAGTCAGGACCGATGTCTCTGTGTTTGATTCTCTGATCTGTGTTGGAGAATCGAGTCCTGCTGTGGCAGTGATGGTACCTGTGCTCACCTGGTTGATGGAGGGGGGGTTGATGGTACCTGTGCTCACCTGGTTGAGGGTGCCTGCACTCACCTGGCTGATGGTACCTGTGCTCACCTGGTTGATGGTACCTGTGCTCACCTGACTGATGGTACCTGTGCTCACTTCGTTGATGGTACCTATGCTCACTTGGCGGATGGTACCTGTGCTCACTTTGTTGATGGTACCTGTGCTCACCTGGTTGAGGGTGCCTGCACTCACCTGGCTGATGGTACCTGTGCTCACCTGGTTGATGGTACCTGTGCTCACCTGACTGATGGTACCTGTGCTCACTTCGTTGATGGTACCTATGCTCACTTGGCGGATGGTACCTGTGCTCACTTTGTTGATGGTACCTGTGCTCACCTGGTTGAGGGTGCCTGCACTCACCTGGCTGATGGTACCTGTCCTCACCTGGTTGATGGTACCTGTGCTCACCTGACTGATGGTACCTGTGCTCACTTCGTTGATGGTACCTATGCTCACTTGGCGGATGGTACCTGTGCTCACCTGGCTGACTGTACCTGTGCTCACCTGGTTGATGGAGGGGGGGTTGATGGTACTTGTGCTCACCTGGCTGACTGTACCTGTGCTCACCTGGTTGATGGTACTTGTGCTCACCTGGATGAATGTACCTGTGCTCACCTGGCTGACTGTACCTGTGCTCACCTGGTTGATGGAGGGGGGGTTGATGGTACTTGTGCTCACCTGGCTGACTGTACCTGTGCTCACCTGGCTGATGGTACCTGTGCTCACCTGGCTGATGGTACCTGTGCTCACCTGACTGATGGTACCTGTGCTCACCTGGCTGATGGTACCTGTGCTCACCTGGCTGATGGTACCTGTGCTCACCTGGCTGATGGTACCTGTGCTCACCTGGCTGATGGTACCTGTGCTCACCTGGCTGATGGTACCTGTGCTCACCTGGTTGATGGAGGGGTGGTTCTTGCTCTTCTTCTTGGAGGTCGTGTCCAGACCCCACAGGGACGAGAAGCGACTCTTACGTTTACTGCACGACCGAGACGCGACCTGTGACCTGCGCCGCACGCCGCTCTCTGTGCGGGCAGCCACCTGCGGGGTCAGAGGTCAGGGTCAGAGGTCACAGGCTTTTTGAGTCTTAAAGCTCGGGTACCTGTTTTTCAAACCACAGGCGACGTATGAAATAGTTCCTCTCAAATTGGTTTGTTTCTGTCTCATCTTTAGATCAGATTTTTCAGACAGAAAGGTAAAAAAGAGAGGACACCCCTCTCTCAGCCAATCAGAGCTCAGCCCAAAGAGTCAGATACTGACTCACAGGGACCAGCCCAAAGGGTCAGATACTGACTCACAGGGACCAGCCCAAAGGGTCAGATACTGACTCACAGGGACCAGCCCAAAGGGTCAGATAGTGACTCACAGGGACCAGCCCAAAGGGTCAGATACTGACTCACAGGGACCAGCCCAAAGGGTCAGATGGTGACTCACAGGGACCAGTCCAAAGGGTCAGATAGTGACTCACAGGGACCAGCCCAAAGGGTTAGATAGTGACTCACAGGGACCAGCCCAAAGGGTCAGATAGTGACTCACAGGGACCAGCCCAAAGGGTCAGATACTGACTCACAGGGACCAGCCCAAAGGGTCAGATAGTGACTCACAGGGACCAGCCCAAAGGGTCAGATACTGACTCACACGGACCAGTCTAAGCTGCAGGCCACATGTTGTGCTCTGGTTTGTTTAACACATTTGACTTCTTCAAGCCTCTTGAACAAACAACATCCTCTGAACGTGTGTAACCTCAGAGACTCCTCCCACTCGCTTCAGCAGACTCCTCCCACTCACTTCAGCAGACTCCTCCCACTCACTTCAGCAGACTCCTCCCACTCACTTCAGCACTGGTCAGATATAGACTCCTCCCACTCACTTCAGTAGACTCCTCCCACTCACTTCAGCACTGGTCAGATATAGACTCCTCCCACTCACTTCAGCAGACTCCTCCCACTCACTTCAGCACTGGTCAGATATAGACTCCTCCCACTCACTTCAGCAGACTCCTCCCACTCACTTCAGCACTGGTCAGATATAGACTCCTCCCACTCACTTCAGCAGACTCCTCCCACTCACTTCAGCACTGGTCAGATGTTGCAAAAGGCTCGGAAAATGGATTGTTCCGCTCTCACAAATACACACAGCTGTACTTCAGGTCAGCGCCGGGTTATGCTAGCCTGTTGCTATGGGATGCAGGAGAGGGACCAGAGAGAGAGACCAGAGAGAGAGACCAGAGAGAGAGACCAGAGAGAGACCAGAGAGACCATAGAGAGACCAGAGAGAGACCAGAGAGAGACCAGAGAGACCATAGAGAGACCAGAGAGAGACCAGAGAGAGACCAGATAGACCAAAGAGAGACCAGAGAGAGACCAGAGAGAGACCAGAGAGACCAGAGAGAGACCAGAGAGAGAGACCAGAGAGAGAGACCAGAGAGAGACCAGAGAGACCAAAGAGAGACCAGAGAGAGACCAGAGAGAGACCAGAGAGAGACCAGAGAGACCAGAGAGAGACCAGAGAGACCAGAGAGAGACCAGAGAGACCAGAGAGAGACCAGAGAGAGAGACCAGAGAGAGAGACCAGAGAGAGACCAGAGAGACCAAAGAGAGACCAGAGAGAGACCATAGAGAGACCAGAGAGAGACCAGAGAGAGACCAGAGAGACCAAAGAGAGACCAGAGAGAGACCAGAGAGAGACCAGAGAGACCAGAGAGAGACCAGAGAGACCAGAGAGAGACCAGAGAGAGACCAGAGAGAGAGACCAGAGAGAGACCAGAGAGAGAGACCTGAGAGAGACCAGAGAGAGACCAGAGAGAGACCAGAGAGAGACCAGAGAGAGACCAGAGAGAGACCAGAGAGACCTGAGTAAACGACCACAGATATAAACAGGACTCCTGCAGTTGCAGGTTCAGATCTCTCATATTTACCAGAGCGTGGAAGGAGGACACAGAGAAGATCCCCAGGCGGCCCATGGCCAACTTGGTGGGACGGGACGCAAAGGCCAGGAGCCTCTTGGGGTTGGGCAGCTCCCCCCCCTGCAGACTGGACAGGTAGCACCGAAAGCGGAACAGGTCCATGTGAAACTGCTCCAGGTTCTGCTCCCACAAGAAGATCTGCCACAGAGAGAACCACAGAGATCACACCCAGAGCAGAGAGAACCACAGAGAGAACCACAGAGAGAACCACAGAGATCACACCCAGAGCAGAGAGAACCACAGAGAGAACCACAGAGAGAACCACAGAGAGAACCACAGAGAGAACCACAGAGCGAACCACAGAGATCACACCCAGAGCAGAGAGAACCACAGAGATCACACCCAGAGCAGAGAGAACCACAGAGATCACACCCAGAGCAGAGAGAACCACAGAGAGAACTACAGAGATCACACCCAGAGCAGAGAGAACCACAGAGAGAACTACAGAGATCACACCCAGAGCAGAGAGAACCACAGAGAGAACCACAGAGAGAACCACAGAGAGGACCACAGAGAGAACCACAGAGAGAACCACAGAGAGAACCACAGAGAGGACCACAGAGAGAACCACAGAGACAACCACAGAGAGGACCACAGAGAGAACCACAGAGATCACACCCAGAGCAGAGAGCGGCTGTGGGTTTGGGGTCTGGGGGTTAGTGGAGCGGGACTCTGTGGCCTCAGTCCTAGAGCCACTGTCAGAGAGAGAGAGAGAGGAGGGGGAGGTGCCAAGTCTCAGGGAGAGAGAGAGGAGGGGGAGGTGCCAAGTCTCAGGGAGAGAGAGAGAGAGAGAGGAGGGGGCGGTGCCAAGTCTCAGGGAGAGAGAGAGAGGAGGGGGAGGTGCCAAGTCTCAGGGAGAGAGAGAGAGAGAGAGGAGGGGGCGGTGCCAAGTCTCAGAGAGAGAGAGAGAGAGAGAGAGGAGGGGGCGGTGCCAAGTCTCAGGGAGAGAGAGAGAGGAGGGGGAGGTGCCAAGTCTCAGGGAGAGAGAGAGGAGGGGGAGGTGCCAAGTCTCAGGGAGAGAGAGAGAGGAGGGGGCGGTGCCAAGTCTCAGGGAGAGAGAGAGAGAGAGAGGAGGGGGAGGTGCCAAGTCTCAGGGAGAGAGAGAGAGGAGGGGGCGGTGCCAAGTCTCAGGGAGAGAGAGAGAGAGAGAGGAGGGGGCGGTGCCAAGTCTCAGAGAGAGAGAGAGAGAGAGAGAGGAGGGGGCGGTGCCAAGTCTCAGGGAGAGAGAGAGAGGAGGGGGAGGTGCCAAGTCTCAGGGAGAGAGAGAGAGGAGGGGGCGGTGCCAAGTCTCAGGGAGAGAGAGAGAGAGAGAGAGGAGGGGGCGGTGCCAAGTCTCAGGGAGAGAGAGAGAGGAGGGGGAGGTGCCAAGTCTCAGGGAGAGAGAGAGAGGAGGGGGCGGTGCCAAGTCTCAGGGAGAGAGAGAGAGAGAGAGGAGGGGGCGGTGCCAAGTCTCAGAGAGAGAGACAGAGAGGAGGGGGCGGTGCCAAGTCTCAGGGAGAGAGAGAGAGGAGGGGGAGGTGCCAAGTCTCAGCGAGAGAGAGAGAGGAGGGGGCGGTGCCAAGTCTCAGAGAGAGAGAGAGAGAGAGGAGGGGGCGGTGCCAAGTCTCAGAGAGAGAGAGATAGAGAGGAGGGGGCGGTGCCAAGTCTCAGAGAGAGAGAGAGAGAGGAGGGGGCGGTGCCAAGTCTCAGAGAGAGAGAGAGAGAGGAGGGGGCGGTGCCAAGTCTCAGAGAGAGAGAGAGAGAGGAGGGGGCGATGCCAAGTCTCAGAGAGAGAGAGAGGAGGGGGCGGTGCCAAGTCTCAGAGAGAGAGAGAGAGAGAGGAGGGGGCGGTGCCAAGTCTCAGAGGGAGAGAGAGAGAGAGGAGGGGGCAGTGCCAAGTCTCAGAGAGAGAGAGAGAGAGAGGAGGGGGCGGTGCCAAGTCTCAGGGAGAGAGAGAGAGAGAGAGGAGGGGGCGGTGCTAAGTCTCAGAGAGAGAGAGAGAGAGGAGGGGGCGGTGCTAAGTCTCAGAGAGAGAGAGAGAGAGAGGAGGGGGGCGGTGCCAAGTCTCAGGGAGAGAGAGAGAAAGAGAGGAGGGGGCGATGCCAAGTCTCAGCGAGAGAGAGAGAGAGAGAGGAGGGGGCGGTGCCAAGTCCCAGCGAGAGAGAGAGAGAGGAGGGGGCGGTGCCAAGTCTCAGAGAGAGAGAGAGAGAGAGGAGGGGGCGGTGCCAAGTCTCAGGGAGAGAGAGAGAGAGAGGAGGGGGCGGTGCTAAGTCTCAGAGAGAGAGAGAGAGAGGAGGGGGCGGTGCCAAGTCTCAGGGAGAGAGAGAGAAAGAGAGGAGGGGGCGATGCCAAGTCTCAGCGAGAGAGAGAGAGAGAGAGGAGGGGGCGGTGCCAAGTCCCAGCGAGAGAGAGAGAGAGGAGGGGGCGGTGCCAAGTCTCAGAGAGAGAGAGAGAGAGAGGAGGGGGCGGTGCCAAGTCTCAGGGAGAGAGAGAGAAAGAGAGGAGGGGGCGGTGCCAAGTCCCAGCGAGAGAGAGAGAGGAGGGGGCGGTGCCAAGTCTCAGAGAGAGAGAGAGAGAGAGGAGGGGGCGATGCCAAGTCTCAGAGAGAGAGAGAGAGAGAGAGGAGGGGGCGGTGCCAAGTCTCAGGGAGAGAGAGAGAAAGAGAGGAGGGGGCGATGCCAAGTCTCAGCGAGAGAGAGAGAGAGAGAGGAGGGGGCGGTGCCAAGTCCCAGCGAGAGAGAGAGAGAGAGGAGGGGGCGGTGCCAAGTCTCAGAGAGAGAGAGAGAGAGAGAGAGAGGAGGGGGCGGTGCCAAGTCTCAGCGAGAGAGAGAGAGAGGAGGGGGCGGTGCCAAGTCTCAGGGAGAGAGAGAGAGAGAGAGGAGGGGGCGATGCCAAGTCTCAGAGAGAGAGAGAGAGAGAGAGGAGGGGGGCGGTGCCAAGTCTCAGAGAGAGAGAGAGAGAGAGAGAGAGGGGGGCGGTGCCAAGTCTCAGGGAGAGAGAGAGAGAGAGAGAGGAGGGGGCGATGCCAAGTCTCAGAGAGAGAGAGAGAGAGAGAGGAGGGGGCGATGCCAAGTCTCAGGGGAGAGAGAGAGAGAGAGGAGGGGGCGGTGCCAAGTCTCAGAGAGAGAGAGAGAGAGAGAGGAGGGGGCGGTGCCAAGTCTCAGGGAGAGAGAGAGAGAGGAGGGGGCGGTGCCAAGTCTCAGCGAGAGAGAGAGAGAGAGAGGAGGGGGAGGTGCCAAGTCTCAGGGAGAGAGAGAGAGGAGGGGGCGGTGCCAAGTCTCAGAGAGAGAGAGAGAGAGAGAGGAGGGGGCGGTGCCAAGTCTCAGGGAGAGAGAGAGAGAGAGGAGGGGGCGGTGCCAAGTCTCAGCGAGAGAGAGAGAGAGAGAGAGGAGGGGGAGGTGCCAAGTCTCAGGGAGAGAGAGAGAGGAGGGGGAGGTGCCAAGTCTCAGGGAGAGAGAGAGAGGAGGGGGCGGTGCCAAGTCTCAGAGAGAGAGAGAGAGAGAGAGGAGGGGGCGGTGCCAAGTCTCAGGGAGAGAGAGAGAGAGGAGGGGGCGGTGCCAAGTCTCAGCGAGAGAGAGAGAGAGAGGAGGGGGCGGTGCCAAGTCTCAGCGAGAGAGAGAGAGAGAGAGGAGGGGGCGGTGCCAAGTCTCAGAGAGAGAGAGAGAGAGGAGGGGGCGATGCCAAGTCTCAGGGAGAGAGAGAGAGAGAGAGGAGGGGGCGGTGCCAAGTCTCAGAGAGAGAGAGAGAGAGAGAGGAGGGGGCGGTGCTAAGTCTCAGAGAGAGAGAGAGAGAGAGAGAGGAGGGGGCGGTGCTAAGTCTCAGAGAGAGAGAGAGAGAGGAGGGGGCGGCATAGGCGCCGATACCGTGGGTGCTGCGGGGCTGGAGCACCCAGTCAAATAGTTGAGCACCCAGGAAAATTTGTCCTGAAGTAATAAAACAAAACAAAAAACCGCGACCAGTAATATAATAATAATTGAATCTAGCACATAAATAATATCAAAAATATAATTTGCCTTCAACATACACGATGGAATCTTGTTGCCAGGCAAAACCCCTCTGTCCTTGATTTGATTTGTCAACATTAAATTATGTGACGTATCTACATTACTTTGGCCAAAACAAACGCAAACGTTTACCGCCAAAAACAGAAAGCTAGCAAAACGACGCAGGAGAACAATGGACCGATTTGTAATAAGACAGAAACATGCATCAGATGATTCCATCAATGAGGAGAATATTTCCATACATGAGACAGCATCTACCAACGAGGAAACACAGGACAATGCCGCTAAAGGACAGAAAGGCCGAACCTTCCAACAAACATGGAAAGCTAAGTTTCCCTGGATAGCGTATGATGCTATAAAAGATAAAGTTTTCTGTGAAGTGTGTACCTCGGCTAAAGAAATGAATGCGCCTCTCCCACAAGCAGCGCATGATAAAGAGTCAATGAAAAGTTTTGTGCAATGTGGTTTTTCAAGTTGGAGCAAGGCTATTGAACGATTTAAATGTCATGAAAAATCCACTCTTCATCGAGCCGCTATCACTGTAGGTGGAGCAGTAAAGGCCAAAGTTAATATTACATCTGCACTTTCTGCTGCCAAACAAAAGCAGATGGTGGACGCTAGAAAAGCTTTGATTGCTGTTTTATCATCTATCCAATATCTTCTGTGTCAAGGCCTGGCTATAAGGGGGAAAACAGATGATGATTCCAATATTATGCAGCTTTTAAACCTGCGTGCACAAGATAATCCAGAACTGAGGTCGTGGTTGGCTCAAAAAGAAAGCAAATGGCTGTCGCATGAAATTCTGAATGAAATGATAGAAATAATGTCTCATGGCGTGCTGAGAACACTTCTCAAGGAAGTAAAAGATGCTGATTTTTTTGCTGTCATGTTGGATGAGACTGCGGACATCACTGTTAAGGAACAAGTGTCAATCTGCCTCCGCTTTGTGACTGATGAGCTGCAGCCAGAGGAGATTTTTGTTGGATTTTATGAAACAGCCTCCACCACAGCAGAAGCGCTTTTTCAGCTTCTCCAAGACGCTCTTATAAGATTTTCCCTGCCTCTCAACAAGTGTAGAGGCCAGTGTTATGACGGTGCCTCAAATGTCTCTGGGATCAGAAATGGTCTACAGGCCCGCGTGCAGACCATTGAACCTCGAGCTCAATATACGCATTGCACTGCTCATGTCTTAAATCTTGTGGCGCACGATGTGACTGAGAACAACTTGTCTTGTCGCAACTTCATGTCACTTATTAGGGATCTAGTTACACTCATCAGGCAGTCACCAAAGCGGCTTTTTTGGTTTCAGCAGATTCAGACCAAAGACAGCCCAGCTTTGAGGCCTCTGTGCCCAACGCGCTGGACAATGACTACGGCCTCACTGCGGTCAATTGCAGACAACTACAGTGCGCTCTTACTTTTTCTGGAAGACTTGGCTCAAAATGACCGAGGGGACGCTGGAGGAAAAGCCAACGGATTGCTTTTAAACCTTCAGAAGTTTGGTACATTCTTTTCATTAAACTTGATGCTGAAATTCTTCTCTCGAATTGAAACGGTATTAGTTGCACTCCAAAAGAGGCAATTGCATATGCAGAAAGCAATGCAGATAATAGACACACTCCGAGATGACATGAAATCTTTTCGCCAAGAAGCATCATTTACTACACTGTGGCAAAGCGTGGTTGGTGAGGCAAGTGATCTTCATCTTGAGAGCCCGTCTGTGCCCAGGCCTCGTAAACGTCCCTGCCGCCTGGAGGATGGAGGTGCCCCGCAGCACGCATTTAAAACTCCCGAGGACGTCTACAGACAGCTGTACTATGATGTTATTGACACAGCAGTCACCTCATTGGACACTCGATTTAGTCCGTCCGTGTTTGATTACATGAAGAAAGTGGAAGATTTTCTCACTGGAAAGAAGAGCTGTGAAAGCATCATTGAGTTCCACGGAGATGATTTGGATGAGACGAGGTTAACATTGCATCGTGACATGTGTATGGATTTGGCCAAACAAAAAGGAGTGAGCCTTGATACATTTGACGACGTTGTTAACTTTCTAAGACGTGATGGCGAATACTTAAGAGACATGTTACCAGAGATAGCTAAACTGGTAAAACTTGCACTGACTGTCCCAGTAACTTCATGCACGTCAGAGAGATCATTTTCAAGTCTGCGGAGGCTAAAATCATACCTACGGTCAACAATGGGACACGCCAGGCTGAACCACGTAACATTACTTAATTGCCATAAAACCACATCACGGCAACAGAGTTTGGATGATATCGCCGATGAATTCAGCACATCGGCGAGAAAAGGCACATTCCTCCTACTATGACATGACAGCAATGGTGAGTTGTGCATCAGTGTATGTGTATTCTGTGTAGCCTGATGTATAAAGAAAATCCCCATCTATGCGATGTTAAACGTAACTAGTAGCTTGCGATTCTGTTTAGGGAAATGATGTGATGTGCGTGTCACGTGACCATGCAGCTGACAGAGCACCCGCTCGCGAAAAGATAAATCGGCGCCTATGGGGGGCGGTGCCAAGTCTCAGGGAGAGAGAGAGAGAGAGAGGAGGGGGGGGGTGCCAAGTCTCAGGAGAGAGAGAGAGAGAGAGAGGAGGGGGGGGGGGTGCCAAGTCTCAGGGAGAGAGAGAGAGAGAGAGGAGGGGGGGGGTGCCAAGTCTCAGGGAGAGAGAGAGAGAGAGAGGAGGGGGGGGGTGCCAAGTCTCAGGGAGAGAGAGAGAGAGAGAGGAGGGGGGGGGTGCCAAGTCTCAGAGAGAGAGAGAGAGAGAGAGAGGAGGGGGTGGTGCCAAGTCTCAGAGAGAGAGAGAGAGAGAGAGAGGAGGGGGCGGTGCCAAGTCTCAGGGAGAGAGAGAGAGAGAGAGAGAGGAGGGGGCGGTGCCAAGTCTCAGGGAGAGAGAGAGAGAGAGAGAGAGGAGGGGGCGGTGCCAAGTCTCAGGGAGAGAGAGAGAGAGAGAGAGAGAGGAGGGGGCGGTGCCAAGTCTCAGGGAGAGAGAGAGAGAGAGAGGAGGGGGCGGTGCCAAGTCTCAGAGAGAGAGAGAGAGAGAGGAGGGGGCGGTGCCAAGTCTCAGGGCGAGAGAGAGAGAGAGAGAGGAGGGGGCGATGCCAAGTCTCAGGGAGAGAGAGAGAGAGAGAGAGAGGAGGGGGCGGTGCCAAGTCTCAGGGAGAGAGAGAGAGAGAGAGAGAGGAGGGGGCGGTGCCAAGTCTCAGGGCGAGAGAGAGAGAGAGAGGAGGGGGCGGTGCCAAGTCTCAGAGAGAGAGAGAGAGAGAGAGAGAGAGGAGGGGGCGGTGCCAAGTCTCAGAGAGAGAGAGAGAGAGAGAGGAGGGGGCGGTGCCAAGTCTCAGAGAGAGAGAGAGAGAGAGAGGAGGGGGCGGTGCCAAGTCTCAGGGAGAGAGACAGAGAGAGAGGAGGCGGTGCCAAGTCTCAGGGAGAGAGAGAGAGAGAGAGAGGAGGGGGCGGTGCCAAGTCTCAGAGGGAGAGAGAGAGAGAGGAGGGGGCGGTGCCAAGTCTCAGGGAGAGAGAGAGAGAGAGGAGGGGGCGGTGCCAAGTCTCAGAGAGAGAGAGAGAGGAGGGGGCGGTGCCAAGTCTCAGGGAGAGAGAGAGAGAGAGAGGAGGGGGCGGTGCCAAGTCTCAGGGCGAGAGAGAGAGAGAGAGGAGGGGGCGGTGCCAAGTCTCAGGGAGAGAGAGAGAGGAGGGGGCGGTGCCAAGTCTCAGAGAGAGAGAGAGAGAGAGAGAGGAGGGGGCGGTGCCAAGTCTCAGAGAGAGATAGAGAGAGAGAGGAGGGGGCGGTGCCAAGTCTCAGGGAGAGAGAGAGAGGAGGGGGCGGTGCCAAGTCTCAGAGAGAGAGAGAGAGAGAGAGAGGAGGGGGCGGTGCCAAGTCTCAGCGAGAGAGAGAGAGAGAGGAGGGGGCGGTGCCAAGTCTCAGGGAGAGAGAGAGAGAGGAGGGGGCGGTGCCAGTCTCAGAGAGAGAGAGAGAGAGAGGAGGGGGCGGTGCCAAGTCTCAGAGGGAGAGAGAGAGAGAGAGGAGGGGGCGGTGCCAAGTCTCAGAGGGAGAGAGAGAGGGAGAGAGGAGGGGGCGGTGCCAAGTCTCAGAGAGAGAGAGAGAGAGAGAGAGAGGAGGGGGCGGTGCCAAGTCTCAGAGGGAGAGAGAGAGGGAGAGAGGAGGGGGCGGTGCCAAGTCTCAGAGAGAGAGAGAGAGAGAGAGAGAGGAGGGGGCGGTGCCAAGTCTCAGAGAGAGAGAGAGAGAGAGAGAGGAGGGGGCGGTGCCAAGTCTCAGAGAGAGAGAGAGAGAGAGAGGAGGGGGCGGTGCCAAGTCTCAGAGAGAGAGAGAGAGAGAGAGAGGGGGGCGGTGCCAAGTCTCAGAGGGAGAGAGAGAGGGAGAGAGGAGGGGGCGGTGCCAAGTCTCAGAGAGAGAGAGAGAGAGAGAGAGAGGAGGGGGCGGTGCCAAGTCTCAGAGGGAGAGAGAGAGGGAGAGAGGAGGGGGCGGTGCCAAGTCTCAGAGAGAGAGAGAGAGAGAGAGAGAGGAGGGGGCGGTGCCAAGTCTCAGAGAGAGAGAGAGAGAGAGAGAGGAGGGGGCGGTGCCAAGTCTCAGAGAGAGAGAGAGAGAGAGGAGGGGGCGGTGCCAAGTCTCAGAGGGAGAGAGAGAGGGAGACAATAGTGTGGATTCCAGAGGGCGCTGCTCTGGCCCGCGGAGCACAGACCCTGTCCAAGAGCCGGACCCCCGCGCTCGGCCGCATTCAGCCACAATGTGAAACCTGAGGCTGCCAAAGCACCAAAGGGGTCCGGCCTGAACCTGCCACAAACAGGACCCTTCTCTGGACCGAGTCTGGGGTCAGGGTAATGCACACGATCATTCAGCAGGTTTAAAGACCTTATGCCGGGTTTGATTTATTTAGAAACAGTTTTAATACAATTTTATATTAGAAGAGAACTACTAAAGGTTTCAAAATCAGTTGTTTTTTTTGTCTGATCCCCCCAAATCGAAATAACCCCATAGCAACGCCCTTAGAAACCAGAGAGAGACCAGAGGGAGACCAGAGGGAGACCAGAGGGAGACCAGAGAGAGACCAGAGGGAGACCAGAGAGAGACCAGAGAGAGAGACCAGAGAGAGACCAGAGAGAGACCAGAGAGAGACCAGAGGGAGACCAGAGAGAGACCAGAGACCAGAGAGAGACCAGAGAGAGAGACCAGAGAGAGACCAGAGAGAGAGACCAGAGAGAGACCAGAGAGAGACCAGAGAGAGACCAGAGAGAGACCAGAGAGAGACCAGAGGGAGACCAGAGAGAGACCAGAGAAAGACCAGAGAGAGACCAGAGAGAGACCAGAGAGAGACCAGAGAGAGAGACCAGAGAGAGACCAGAGAGAGACCAGAGAGAGACCAGAGAGAGAGACCAGAGAGAGACCAGAGAGACTGACATCCTGACTCAGGCTGAAGACCTGACTCAGGCTGAAGTCCGGAGTCAGGTTGAAGACCTGACTCAGGCTGAAGTCCGGACTCAGGCTGAAGACCTGAGCCTGGAGTGCTGCTGCTGTTGGAGTGAACACCTGCGATAGGTCACACTGAGAGCGGCCTGACCTGGTCCAGAATGGCCTTCCTCTTCTTGGTGTCGGAGACGGCGGACAGCTGCATGTCCCCCATCTTCTTCATCTTCTCGTCCATGTCGATCTTCTGCTCCAGGCGCCGGATCTCGGTGCGGAGCAGTCTCACCGTGTCCTCGCGGTGGTGCTGCCGAGCCACGGCCGCCGCACACGCCGAGTGGACGGCCGTGATCCAGTTCTCCAGCTCCGTCTGACTGCAGGTCTGAGGACAGAGGACACAGAGAGGATTGAGGAGACAGAGAGGACTGAGGACTGAGGACAGAGGACAGAGGACAGAGGACTGAGGACTGAGGACTGAGGACAGAGGACAGAGGACAGAGGACACAGAGAGGACTGAGGAGACAGAGAGGACTGAGGACAGAGGACTGAGGACAGAGGACTGAGGACTGAGGACAGAGGACAGAGGACACAGAGAGGACTGAGGACTGAGGACAGAGGACAGAGGACAGAGGACAGAGGACTGAGGACAGAGGATAGAGGAGATAGGAGACAGAGAGGGGCGCTCTCTCACCTGCAGTCACACTCTCTCACCTGCAGTCACACTCTCTCACCTGTAGGGGGCGCTCTCTCACCTGCAGTCACACTCTCTCACCTGTAGGGGGCGCTCTCTCACCTGCAGTCACACTCTCTCACCTGTTGGGGGGGCTCTCTCACCTGTAGGGGGCGCTCTCTCACCTGCAGTCACACTCTTTCACCTGTAGGGGGGGTTCTCTCACCTGCAGTCACACTCTCTCACCTGTTGGGGGGGCTCTCTCACATGTAGGGGGCACTCTCTCACCTGCAGTCACACTCTCTCACCTGTAGGGGGGGTTCTCTCACCTGCAGTCACACTCTCTCACCTGTTGGGGGGGCTCTCTCACATGTAGGGGGCACTCTCTCACCTGCAGTCACACTCTCTCACCTGTAGGGGGCGCTCTCTCACCTGCAGTCACACTCTCTCACCTGTAGGGGGCGCTCTCTCACCTGCAGTCACACTCTCTCACCTGTAGGGGGGGTTCTCTCACCTGCAGTCACACTCTCTCACCTGTAGGGGGCGCTCTCTCACCTGCAGTCACACTTTCTCACCTGTAGGGGGGCGCTCTCTCACCTGTAGGGGGCGCTCTCTCACCTGCAGTCACACTCTCTCACCTGTAGGGGGCGCTCTCTCACCTGCAGTCACACTCTCTCACCTGTAGGGGGCGCTCTCTCACCTGCAGTCACACTTTCTCACCTGTAGGGGGCGCTCTCTCACCTGCAGTCACACTCTCTCACCTGTAGGGGGCGCTCTCTCACCTGCAGTCACACTCTCTCACCTGTAGGGGGCGCTCTCTCACCTGCAGTCACACTCTCTCACCTGTAGGGGGCGCTCTCTCACCTGCAGGAGGAAGGCGTCGCCCTGGCTGTTGCTGAGGCAGAAGATGAAGTCCTTCTTGGGGTGCTCGGGCACGGCCTGCACGATGCTGCCCTCCGCCCACACGGCGTGTTTGTGCTCGCTGCTGTGGTCCACGCCACGCTCGTCCGTCTCATAGAAGAAGAGCGTGCAGCCTGAGCACACACACACACACGTCATACACACACACACACGTCATACACACACACACGTCATACACACAGATACACACACACACGTCATACACACACACACACGTCATACACACACACACGTCATACACACAGATACACATACACACACGTCATACGCACAGATACACACAGATACACATACACACACGTCATACACACAGATACACACATACACACACGTACATACACATGTAAACACACACACACATTAGACTGAGTGATGTAGAGATGCAGAGGTCTATCGTGCAGGAACTCTGCCCTCTAGTGGCAGCAGCGGGAAGTACAAGCAGTAACACTGATCTCACACACACACACACCCACACACACACACACACACACACACACACACACTCACACACACAGAGATCTCACACTTTCATATGTAGAGGTTTAGTTTCCTCGTTTTAGCATCTGTGTTTTTGTATAAACTTTGACCCTGTGGAAGAATCCAGAACAATGATCTAAGAAAGGTTCAGACTTTATTTGTGTCTGAATCTTGTTGATCAGAATAAAACACACAATCCGTTACACAATGTAACGTGTTTAAAAGTTAGCTCTCTGTGATGCGTCGGTCACAGATCTCTGGACGCTCTGTTTCCTCACGCCCCACTTGGCCCTGCTCTCCTCTACTGCTCTACTTGGCCCCAGTATCCAGGAAATTCCTTGGTAACCATGGCTTCCAACAGCACTCTGGCCAATCACAGTCAGTTAGAACACTTTAGCACCAGCTCAGTCTGAACCAGGACCAAGAGGGACAAAAGAAGGACTTGGTACTGGTTTCACAGGACCAGGAAACACTCCCACTCAGGGGAGAGTAGAGTAGACTAGAGTAGAGTAGAGTAGAGTAGAGTAGGGTAGGGTAGAGTAGAGTAGAGTAGAGTAGAGTATCCATCCATCCATCCATTTTCTTCCCTTTAATCCATTTCTGGGTCAGGGGGGTGGCAGTCTCATAGCACCAGCCCCTCACTGACCCTCTGCAGGTGGTGAGTCCACAGGAGGACGGCTGCTCTCTGAGTGTGAGCATAGCCTTGATCTTTCAGTGGGGGCTTTGGGCAAAGTGGGGTTAAGTGTCTTGCCCAAGGACACAACGACAGCAGTCATCAGTGGGAGTCGGTGGAGAAGGTGCAGAGGTGGGAATTGAACCCACGACCTTCAGGCCTGAAGGCCAACGCTCTACCAACTGAGCTACTGTCGCCCCCGAGTAGTAGAGTAGAGTAGAGTAGAGTAGAGTAGAGTAGAGTAGAGTAGAGTAGGGTAGAGTAGAGTAGAGTAGGGTAGAGTAGAGTAAAGTAGGGTAGAGTAGAGTAGAGTAAAGTAAAGTAGGGCAGAGTAGAGTAGGGTAGAGTAGAGTAGAGTAGGGTAGAGTAGAGTAAAGTAGGGTAGAGTAGAGTAGAGTAAAGTAAAGTAGGGCAGAGTAGAGTAGGGTAGAGTAGAGTAGGGTAGAGTAGAGTAGAGTAGAGTAGAGTAGAGTAGAGTAGAGTAGAGTAGAGTAGAGTAGAGTAGAGTAGAGTAGAGTAGAGTAGAGTAGAGTAGAGTAGAGTAGAGTAGAGTAGAGTAGGGTAGAGTAGAGTAGAGTAGGGTAGAGTAGAGTAGAGTAGGGTAGAGTAGAGTAAAGTAGGGTAGAGTAGAGTAGAGTAAAGTAAAGTAGGGCAGAGTAGAGTAGGGTAGAGTAGAGTAGAGTAGGGTAGAGTAGAGTAAAGTAGGGTAGAGTAGAGTAGAGTAAAGTAAAGTAGGGCAGAGTAGAGTAGGGTAGAGTAGAGTAGGGTAGAAAGACCAAGTCTGTATTGGTGGAGCTGAAGTTGGCTGGTTGGTGTTATGTGGCCCTTGCTAACATGTGGCCTTAGTCTGGACCTGCCTGGTTCATCCTGGTTCAGCCTGGTTCAGTCTAGTTTAGCCTGGTTCATCCTGGTTCAGCCTGGTTCAGTCCACATGCAGAGGCTGAGACTAACCTTTGAGGGAGACCCAGTAGGTCTTCCACTTGCGGCGTGCGGCGGACTCCACCTTCTTGTTCTTCTTGTGGACCAGCAGGTTCTTGACGGACAGCCGGCCCGCCTTCCGGACCATCCCCTGGGGGTCGCAGTGGGAGGAGCTTAGGGTGCTCTGCTCATCACTCAGAGCGCCCTCTTCTGGGCTGTCGGCCTGGCACGAGCTCCTCTGCAGCTCCTGCCTGAAGTTCTCGTACACGCCCTGGTCGCCGGCACCGCCCCCGCTGCTGCCGCTGTCACTGGCTGCGAACAGGCCCCGCCCCCCAGAGCCCGCCGAGAAGGACGCCGACATGGTCTTATAGTGACGGGGCGGCTCCGAGTCCGGGGTCAGGCCATCCACGCCACTGTCATCGTACTCACTGCCCTCACCTCCCGTCACGTCCTGAGGGAGAGAGGAACCTCAGTCTACAGCCTCAGTCCTGGGTCTACAGCCTCAGTCCTGGGTCTACAGCCTCAGTCCTGGGTCTACAGCCTCAGTCCTGGGTCTACAGCCTCAGTCCTGGGTCTACAGCCTCAGTCCTGGGTCTACAGCCTCAGTCCTGGGTCTACAGCCTCAGTCCTGGGTCTACAGCCTCAGTCTTGGGTCTACAGCCTCAGTCCTGGGTCTACAGCCTCAGTCTTGGGTCTACAGCCTCAGTCTTTTGCTTGTGTTTCCATTATGTCATGAGGCTCTGTCCCAGAGCCTAATGCTAATGCTAATGCTAATGCTCATACAACTATATTACTGCAGGAGAATATACAGGATTTATACTTTAATATGCTAAAGATAGAGATTATATTTTATTTCATTTAGTAACAGTTGTTGTACATGTATCTTGTGCTGCTCCTCATTCTACTGTTCTGTAGCAATGCAACACTGAACTTTCCCTGTGGGTCTTCATCGTATCTACAAAAACAAATGTTGAAGTGTTGAAAACCACTCCTACCTTCATCTCGGCGCTTGTGTCTTAGCCCCGCCTCCTCTGAGTCTTAGCCCCGCCCCCTCTGCAAGCTCTTCACTTCTTTTCCTCAGCCATAAACTCCCCCAGGTAGGACCCTCACTGAGGCCATCAGACCTCCCAGCTCTGCCTGTCCCACTGAGGGCCCCGCACGGCTCAGGGCTCCGTGGAGATGTGAGGGGGCCGGGCCGGGGGCCTCCCAGTGTCCGAACACGTGACCAATCACTGCACTGCTCTGTCTCCACAAACCCACGTGTCCCTCTGTCGCTTAGTTCTCCAGGACCCCAACCCCATCACCATGACAACCAGGGGCCAGGCATTTACAACGGGGGTCACTACAAGCCCAGCCCTCCTCTCTCTTCTCTCCTCTGTCTGTCCTCTACTCTACTCTACTCTACTCTACTCTACTCTACTCTACTCTACTCTACCCTACTCTACCCTACTCTACTCTACTCTACTCTACTCTACTCTACTCTACCCTACCCTACTCTACTGTACTCTACTCTACTCTACTCTACTCTACTCTACTCTACTCTACTCTACTCTACCTCTGACTGCAGACGCTGCTCCCTCTTCACGAAATTATTCCAATAAAGCTCTGACTGTCACTGAGTAAAGTGGTCCACTATCTTCCAGGGTGTCACCTTTTGTCTTAAGACTCTAATGATGATAATAATAATAGTAATAATAATGATGATGATAATAATAACATTAATATTAATAATAATAATAATAATTATAATAATAACAATAATAATAATAATAATAATAATGATAATGATAATAATAATAATAATGATAATAATAATGATAATAATAATGGTAATAATAATAATAATAATGATAATAATAATAATAATAATGATAATAATAATGATAATAATGATAATAATAACAATAATAATCATGATAATAATAATGATAATAATAATAATGATAATGATAATAATAATAATGATAATGATAATAATAATGATAATGACAATAATAATCATGATAATAATAATGATAATAATAATGATAATGATAATAATAATGATAATAATGATAATAATAACAATAATAATCATGATAATAATAATAATATTAATAATAACAATAACAATAACGATAATGATAATGATAATGATAATGATAATGATAATGATAATAATAATGATAATGATAATGATAATAATAATAATGATAATAATAATGATAATAATGATAATAATAATAATAATCATGATAATAATAATTATAATAATGATAATGATAATGATAATGATAATAATAATAATAATGATAATGATAATGATAATAATAATAATGATAATGATAATAATAACAATAATAATCATGATAATAATAATAATGATAATGATAATAATAATGATAATAATAACAATAATAATCATGATAATAATAATGATAATAATAATATTAATAATAATAATAATAAAAATAATAATCATGATAATAATAATGATAATAATAATAATGATAATGATAATAATTAAAGATAAGGCTGCTAAGCTAAATAGTATGGACAATTACAGGCCTATTGCCCTTGCGAGTGTTCTGTCTAAAATCCTAGAACGCATCCTGATTGCTAGGCTTGAAATTTACCTGACAACAAATGACAATCAATTTGGATTTAAAAAAGGGCACAGCACTGATAACTGTATCTATGCACTGAAAGAAACTGTCAGTAAATACCTGGAGTTGAATTCATCTGTACTTTTATGTTTTATTGATGCTAGTAAGGCTTTTGATAGAGTGAACCACTGCAAACTGTTCCTAAAACTTGCACATAGAGGAGTGCCGAATTACTTGATTAGGATTCTAGCTTTCTGGTATGCTAATCAACTCATGAGTGTGAAATGGGACAATGCTCTTTCAAAAAGTGTTTATGTGTGTAATGGTGTTAGACAAGGAGGCCTCCTTTCTCCTTTTTTATTTAATATATATGTTGATGATTTGTCCACTGAATTGAATATGTGTAAAACAGGGTGTGTCATGGGAACCACCGTAATCAACCATCTCATGTATGCAGACGATCTTGTTATCATAAGCCCTTACAGTGCAGGCATGCAGGGACTGCTACAAGTGTGCTCAGCGTATGGTGTGACGTTTGACATAAAATACAATCCAACAAAGAGCAACATGATGATTGTGAGAAGCAGAGAGGATAAACATTTGACCTTCCCTGACTTTCAGCTCTGTGGTCAGCCTCTTTCCGTCTCCAAAGAGACAAAGTATCTGGGACACTTTCTCACAGATGACTGGCGTGATGACAGAGACATTAAAAGACAGTGCTGTAAACTTTATGCCCAGGCGAACACACTGATGAGGAGGTTCAGCATGTGTTCTTCCATCCATCCATCCATTTTCTTCCGCTTTATCCGTTGCCGGGTCGCGGGGGCAGCAGTCTAAGCAGAGACGCCCAGACTTCCCTATCCACACACACTTCCTCCAGCTCGTCCGGGGGAACCCCAAGGCGTTCCCAGGCCAGCTGAGAGACATAGTCTCTCCAGCGTGTCCTGGGTCTTCCCCGGAGCCTCCTCCCGGTGGGACGTGCCCGGAACACCTCCCCAGGGAGGCGTCCAGGAAGCATCCGGAACAGATACCTGAGCCACCTCAACTGGTTCCTCTCGACGTGGAGAAGCAGCGGCTCTACTCCGAGCTCCTCCCGTGTGACTGAGCTCCTCACCCTATCTCTAAGGGAGCGCCCAGCCACTCTGCGGAGGAAGCTCATTTCGACCGCTTGTATCCGCGATCTCGTTCTTTCGGTCATTACCCAAAGCTCATGACCATAGGTGAGGGAGGGAACGAAGATTGACCGGTAAATCGAGAGCTTCGCCTTTCGGCTCAGCTCCCTCTTTACCACAACGGTCCGATACAGAGACCGCATCACTGCGCACGCTGCACCGATCCGCCTGTCAATCTCACGCTCCATTCTTCCCTCACTTGTGAACAAGACCCCGAGATACTTGAACTCCTCCACTTGAGGAAGGACCTCTCCACCCACCTGGAGAGGGCAAGGCACCTTTTTCCGGTCGAGCACCATGGCCTCGGATTTGGAGGTGCTGATTCTCATCCCAGCCGCTTCGCACTCGGCTGCAAACCGTCCCAGTGCATGCTGCAGGTCCTGGTTCGTTGGAGCCAACAGGACGACATCATCCGCAAAAAGTAGAGATGAAATCCTGTGGTTCCCGAACCGGACCCCCTCCGGCCCCTGGCTGCGCCTAGAAATTCTGTCCATAAATACAGTGAACAGAACCGGTGACAAAGGGCAGCCTTGGCGGAGGCCAACATGCACCGGGAACAGGTCTGACTTACTGCCGGCAATGCGAACACAGCTCTGGCTCCGGTCATACAGGGACCAGACGGCCCTCAGCAGAGGACCCCGGACCCCGTACTCCCGGAGGACCCCCCAAAGGACACCCCGGGGAACACGGTCGAACGCCTTCTCCAAATCCACAAAGCACATGTGGACAGGTTGGGCGAACTCCCATGAACCCTCGAGTATCCGATGGAGAGTATAGAGCTGGTCCAGTGTTCCGCGACCGGGACGAAAACCACACTGCTCCTCCTGAATCCGAGATTCGACCATCGGGCGTAGCCTCCTCTCCAGTACCTTGGAGTAGACCTTACCGGGGAGGCTGAGGAGTGTGATCCCACGATAATTGGAACACACCCTCCGGTCCCCCTTCTTGTAGAGAGGGACCACCACCCCGGTCTGCCACTCCATTGGCACCGCCCCCGATCGCCACGCGATGTTGCAGAGACGTGTCAGCCAAGACAGTCCTACAACATCCAGAGACTTTAGATAGTCAGGACGGATCTCATCCACTCCC